TTGAACTGATGTGAAGCATACTGTGAAGCATACTGTGAAGCATACTGTGAAGCACTCTGCAAGTTTCATGTCTTCGTTTCAATTGGTCTGCGTAGATGCGCTTGCCGCGCTTTAAGGCCTGGGCACTGCTCTGGGAACTTCGATAGGCCAAGAAGCGCTAATTTGACTATTTCAAGTTACACTGCCTTGCGCTTCGGATGTTGCACTAGATGCGTACGTGTTTGCAGTGTAGCATGGCGTGTTCTCATTCCACCCCTTCCATGGATGCCAGCGATTCCTTGGACCAGCGTGGAATGATTGCACTGCGACCCATAGGCAAAGTTTGTGCTTGGGCTGGCCGAATACACTTCATATTGAATGAGCTCTTGGTCATGTTACTGCGGAAAAGCATGATTCCAAGATACTCCTCAGGGCAATCATTCGTGATACTGATACGGTCTCGCAGGCACAATGCTACCTTTGCGCTTTCTGGGCGGTTCTGGGGGCGCCCTCGCAGCTGCGGGTTCTGCGGCTTACATCGATCCTTGGCGCATCAGTACAGTTTTAAGCCCAGAGGCGATCGGTGATCAGGCCATGCTGCTGAGGCCGACATGACAGAGAAGCCGCACTTGAAGCCTTTCCGCGGCACCATCGTCGGGGCCCAAAGCGGGCTCATCGCCGCGGCCTACGTGGTGGGCCCGGTGATCGGCCACTGGGATCCAATTGGTAGAGCTGGGCAGAGCTAGAGCAGAGCTGGAGCAGAGCTAGAGCAGAGCTAGAGCAGAGCTAGAGCGGAGCTGAGCACAAGAATTGCGCTCAGCTGCTCATGATGCTTTTTTGGTGCCCCAGGTGGGGTGTTGACCCAGTGCTATGGCGCCCCCATCGCCTACACGCTCGTTGCGGGGCTGATCACTGTCTGCGGTGCTGCTTATGCCACGTTGCCGGACGGGTCTGCGAGGCGTTCATGAGGGATGCCCCTAAAAACCATACCCTAAAATCTGGCAGGAGCCACGGCAGACATCGGGTGCGGGTGCAGAGATTCGCCTTGGGATCCTGCTGCGAGACGCTGCACGGGACTGGCGGCACCTATTGCAGGATCCGCGGCAGCAGGAGCCTGTCCCACAGCTTGCCATAGGTGACTGTCTGACACCCGCAGTGCCACAAAGATGTTTCCGACCTGAGCATCCAGGCGGTCTTTGCTTGCAATCTCGCGCTTTCGTTGAACTATGCAGCCCTTGTGCCTGGAGCTGCACTCCAGAGTCTAGCGTAGCAGGACTTGCCTCGATGCTTGCAGTGCTTTCGCTGGACGTCTCTGACCATCCTTCAGCCTACATGTGCTGGCATGCTTGGCACACGTCGTACACGCTGCTTGCATTCTTGCATTGGCTCAGAGCCCAGGTGACGGTGATGCCGCTCCAAGCCTTCCACACCTTTGGCACAACAGCTTGGGGCTCAGGCCCAGAGGATCTGACGGGCTCTGTCGTCGTTCTTCCAGTGCAAAGACTATGCTGGGACTTCACTGATCTTCACCACTCAGGCTGCTGAGATCGGCGGCCTTTTCTCTATAGGACTGCCCTACTGTTCTGTTTTCTGTACTCATTCAAGCTTCGAAAGAAGTTACGCCAGTTCGACATTCACAGTTCATGGCAAGCGTGCCATGGGCAGCACTGCTTATGGGGCACTACTGTATGTTTGGGGTAGGAGATGTGATCATTTTCCGATGTTTCGCTCCTGACACCACCCCTTCAATTCGTAGTTGCATTGGTCGCCAGGCCATCAAGGGTTCCAGGGTGCGACTTGTAGATGACTTGGCGTGGCGCACAACGGTCAGGAATGGTGTCCACATATCCAAAAGCAATCAAAAGCAGATTTGTCTCCACGGGGGAACATCGCCATACTTGGGGCACCCATACTATTGGCCTGCTAAACAGACATGCGCTCAGAACAATAGTCTGAAGGTTTCTAGGTGGGACTTTACTACAACTTTAGCACTTTACAAGTTTAGGGTTCCTCTAATCTCATATTAAGGGAGCCAAGAGTTAAACTTTTATTGGGGGGTTAAAGAGCAACCAAGGCTTATTCCACTTACTAGTAAGCCCTAAGCTTGCGCCATGTTTCGCCCGGTAGACTGTCAGGATCTGCAACCGGTGTTGTTCTGGCTCCCTTCGCTGGTGCCCTGTCGGATCGTGCCTTGACTGCAGAGCTGCCCATATGACTCCCTCAGAGATCTCTGAGCAGCCAGGATGGGGCCGTGCGCCCCTCCTAGCACCGTCGCTGGCCGTTTGCGCAGCCGGATGCTTCGGGGTGGCCTTCAGCCAGCAGCTCCTTTGCCGCCTAGGGGGCTGGGGTACAAGATGTTTTTGGTGAACCTGCTGCAACATCACATCTGACGCCTTCGACTGGGACGTATTTTCTTCTTGACTTCTTGCTCAGTCCAGCTACGCCGTCAGCTACGCAGACCCATACAACTCTACTCCAGCACCTTCATGCATCTTCGGTATTCAAGGGTGTCCTCGATGTCCTAATCTGCTTTCTTCCCACCCCTTGAATGAGACATCGAGCCGCTTCATGTTTCGACGTGTTTTGAATTTCGGGCTTTGGGTCGATGGCCTGCTGTGAAAACCACCAAAACACCTCGGGCTCTGGGCACCTTCGGCGCTTGGGTTTTTCAATTGCTCTCACTTGGCAAACATTCGGCTGCCGTCCTCTGCAGTATGACATCAGCTTCCAAACGTACATCACATGATGTAACATGTGTATCAAAGTTGACCGCAGCACATGTCGCATGACCGGCTGCGCAGCTGCAACTTGAAACCCAGCGTCCTGAATCGCTCCTCACAAGAGGTGGGAGCTTTTCGTGCTCTCCAACCTTCTGTGGTCCGTGGGCGAATCAGTGCTCGTTGCTTGTCAGAGATCATACGGAACTGTAGGTCAAGAGTAAAGCACTTGACACACTGCAGCTGTAGTACCACAGCACCGATGCTTTGTTGTGAGCGCCCCGTAATTTGGAGGCCTCAGAGATGCCTCAGAGCGGCCCCCACTGAGTACACTGAGGGATGTCTGTCCGAATTGGAGTTTCCCCTTCAATTTCGTCCCTTCACGCTGAGGGGCCCGTGCTGAGCGCCTATGCTGCCGATGTCGCTCCAAAGGCACAGCACGGCACAGCTTGAGGCATTTCGTATCTTCTGAGTTCGGTGTAATGGAATCTTCGGCAACTTCCTCACGTTTCCACCGAGAAATACGATTGCACACTAGCGCCGCCGCCGCAGCCAACGTCTACTCCAATCCTTGCAGAATGAAGTTGGTGAGAAGCTTTGGTTGAAAACATTGTAATCTGCAGTTTGAGTGTTGGATTTGTGAGCAGCGGTCTCCATGGTGAATTGGAGTTGCTAGAGATAACCCTTCGAGGGATTGTAAGTATTGAAAATTTCAGCAAGTACGTGCTGCACTGATTTCTCCAACGCATCGGAAACTTTGTAGGGGATAGCGCATTGATGAGCTCCTTGGGCGAAGTTCTGCGGCGAAGTTCGCGGCCAAACTTGGGGCGAAGTTTGGGGCGTAGTTTGTTGGCGAAGCTTGTGGCGAAGCTTGCGGTGAAGTTTTCACGGCGACGACATGTGGTGAAGAACGTGGCGAAGTTTCTGTGAAATCTTGTAAGGTGAATTTTCCTGTTTTCCACCTGTGACGCAGGCCTCCAGCACAATGTCAATAAAGTTCCGGTTGCTCCTTATTGAAATGTGCTCTACTTGGTGGTCGGGGCGGAGCTGCAGGACATATCCCGGCCGTTGTTGGGCTGAATTAGTCCTAGCCGGCGCCCCGGGGATGCAAGAAGGGCTGCCTGTGTAAGGAAAGCCGCTGATGGTACAATCTACATGTTGCACTTTAGATATTGTCCACAAAAGAAACAGTGCCCGCGGACTGGTTGACCATGTTCCGAAATCCGTTTCTGAATCGTGCCAATACTTCACTGCTCACTTCTGGGTGTCCCTGGACACAAAACATTATCCTCAGAAATTTCTACATTACATGCGCTGTTTGTTGCACAAACACGCTGCTTGCCGCTGCAACCAGCAGCGGAGACAAGTCTTGCTCACAAGTCGGTTGGTCCATCTTCTTTTTCGGACCTCCCTGACATGAGTGCGACGTAGAGCATATTACAACCAAGTGCGGTGCACAACGCCCTAAGCAGATCACAGTTCATTAAGTACAAGTGAAACTGCAGCGTTGGCCAGGGCCCTCCTCCGGTCCTCCTGGCCCCCCTGCTGGAAAGCCAAGCGAGTCTACGATCTTGGTACTAACTCTTAGAAACAGAGGCTTACACACACGTGTGATATGTTGTGCTGGTGGTGTTGCAAGAGCTCAGTTGCCTTTTAGCATGTTTTTGTACATTGTTGGCAGGTGTTGTGGTGTATGATAGTGCCTCTCCATGCCAGGAGAAAGTGGGCTCTGCCCTTTCGCTGGGCCGGCAAGCAGGGGATTTGGTGTTCTTCCTGGCCCCGCCTGTTGCGGTCTCAGCTGGGTCTGAGGAGAACATTTTCAGTGCAGTGTACGCAAGGACGCAGGAAGGATGCAGATGAAAACATGAAGACTCGATCAGCAAAATCAGAGGGGCCGGGGAAATTTGCGCAACAAGACACATCACCAATGGCACCAAGGTCCTGGGCTTCGTCTACGACCAGTGGCCGGGCCAGGCATGGATAACGGGTGGAAAACGGATGAGAACTGGAGCGTCAAGCCGTCAGCGAGAGCGAGAGACTCAAGACTTTAACGTCCCTGGCATGGAGCGGTTCGGTGCGACATGCTACGCATTTCTGCTACACTACGCCACTATGCATGCCTGCACCTTCGGCCCGACAACTCCCTGCAGGGCGCCATGACTTTGCCAGGGTTGCTCACGCTGGTTTGTGCTGCAGCTGTCCGGCATCGTCTGAAGAAAAAAGAAGTGCTTGCCATTTGCGATGTTCTTGCACGGCCTTCTGTGACTTCTGTGCATGTGGAAAGATGCTGTAGAAACTGCTTAGGCTGAGTACCTCGCCGCGACCTCGCCGGGGCCTGGCGTTTCCGAAAACAGCACAGGATGTCTTGACGGTACCAAACGCCGATTCTTTCATCAAACCTTTTCTGAATCGGAATGCAGTTTCACTGCCATTGTGGCCGTGGATCGGGGCCGCAATCGTAGGTTGCAAAAGCAGCAGACTGCACCGGCTAGAACAAGAGTCTGCCAAGGCACATTCCTTCCTCCTTTTTCAACAACGCCGCGGCGGCGCTGTTGGGTTTGGATAAGCCTGGGGCCAAGCTGAGCTGGCACTTGCACTTAGATTTTGAGTGTAGCTTGTTCCACCCCGTGAAATTGTACTGACATGCGCTGCGACGCTGAGGGACAAGGAGGCAGCAAAGGATGGAGAAAAGCCTGGAGCCCAGAAGATGATCGAGAAGTGGACGCAGTCAAGTTCAGCTGTTGCCATTTCCACCGAAGCTTGCGGCTGACGTTGTATTCTAGATGTCTGGCCCTGAGGAAAGATGAAGCCAGAGAAGGCCTTTGCATGAAATCACGTGGTTCGGAGATCGAAGACGTGAATCTTAGTCAACGTTTTGCACGATGCCAGCGTGCTGTCATCGAAGCCTGCATTGCACGCGACCATCTGTGACCCGGAAATACCAAGCCCAGTGCCCGTCAGTAACTCCAACACTTTGTCGTGCTTCAGGGAAAGATGGGCCCAGATCTCGGCTTCTTGCAAAGTGGGAAAACAGGTGATTGTACTCCGATCCCCATCTCATGACTCATGACATGTGGCAAGGGGAATAGTAGCATAGGTTGTCAGATGTTGTCGGCTTGGCCTTTTCACAGCGAAGAAGGTCGAAGCCCACGCCGCTCTCTGGTCGAAAGCTAAGTTCAGTGGCAATGCGCCCTACAAACGTGAGCTTCAGATGCGAAGAACTGCACACATTGATTTCCCGTGACCTGATCTTCGGACATCTTCGGACCTTCGCACATCTCCAGTTCACTTGATTCGCCGAGCCACGTTGTCGAAGTCCCGGTGCTATTAAGGCCTTCCTTTAAAATTCTTTAGGGTGCATTTCTTCAGAGCTCCAGGCATTCCGGAGGAGCCCAAGAGCATGGGCCCAGGGCCTCAGAAGCCTTCGAGCTTTTTGTCTCAAGAGGCTGTGGGAGTAGCTGAACACTGTAGCTCTTTCTGCTGACGCTTGAGGTGGCATGCCGGGCCTGGGTGCTCCAGCGAAGGGCCCGGGCAGGGCACCTACCCAACTCGTATAGTGAGCGGTGTGCAGAGCACTGAAGAGACTTCATGCTCTCGGCGATGTCGGATTCCTCGCTCAACTGCTCATCGCCAATCACCGCCCGTCACGCTAGGCATCAAGCTCTTGAGATGACTGAAAAGACTGGCGATGCACGGAGTTTAGGCAGCTGTGCTTCGCTTCACAGAATGCCAGGATGGGTGACGTGCAGTGATGCGAACTGTGAAGACTGTGTAGAGAGCGATGCAATCGGAATTACTTGTTGGGCAGAGCCTAGTCCTGCCAGCAAGCTGTGAGTGTAACTGTAGCATGCGTCAGCGCACATATAGGCGATGCACGCACGCATGTGATACAAGTGATGTGATCATGAGGAAGAGGGAATATTTCTAGATCTGTCGGGCTTTGATTTTTGATGCGGTTTCGGCACCGGCTCCAAGCGCGAAGAGCCGGGCTCGAGCATTCTCTCAAAGTGCTCCCTTGCAAGATGGAGTAATGCGAGAGCGGTTCTAAGGTATGGCGATGCCGGGAACTGGTCCCGGAGGTTCGGCACCCGGCACAACTTGGATGCCTCCGACATCCGATGTTCACTAGCCGTAAGCAAGGCAACAACGCATGCTATTTGATGTTGCTTCACCGGCAGCCATGTTCGTGGCAGGGACCCATGGTTGCCTCCAGTCAAGTAGCGTTGGGCAGCACCAGCCAAGGTATGGGCATTGGAGGAGCTGCGAAGGCATGAGCGTCGGACAGCAGTTTCCAACAGTTCTGCTGGCGTAAGGAGTGCAAGATATCAAGGAAGTAGTTGTGCAATCTGCAGACACAGCTCATATCCTCCATACATGCGAGACAGCACTCCTCTCAAATCCATGGCCCCTGGCGAAGACAAGCAGTCCCGGAAGTCCCTTCCCCCTCAGTTCTATAAATTGCCCCTTCAGTTCCATAAATCAACTACCTAAGCCACAAGCACCAAAAAGTGGTGTCTCTTGTCTTCCTTCCTTTCCTCCCCCGACCTTTTGCTGCAGTCCGCTGGCCTCCCCGCAGCGATGATGGCCCTGAGAAAGCCAGACGAGGCTCGTGAAGTCTTCTAGAGTGGGGATGCCAGGACCATAACAGACTCAAGGGCCTCCGGCCCACAAGAATCGGAAAAGGAAGACACCCGCCCCTACACCTGAAGCTTTCCGATGGCAAGCGGAGTCAAAGCAGCCCCACAGCTCAACCCACACAAAGCAAAGTCAGGACGGGGAGGTCAGAGGTCACTAGGGGAAGTAACTGGCGCAAAGGGTGACCTTGACTCACGCCGCCTACGACTGCCTCTTCCTTGGTGCTGCAACCAGCTCGTCTGTTGAGCTGTGGTCATGGTTTAGACACCAGTGCACTTGAAACCGAAGATGGTGGTGGGCCAACGACTCCCAGATACTCCCAGGAGATCCGCAGAGGTCCAAGGGCTCCCCCAAAATTCCCAAACCCAACCAAAACCCCCCAAAATGGGTCCATCTGCACCCCCCCAAATCGCATGGGCCATCATGGGCCTTTTTCTCTCGGAGGTGTAAGGTAAAGGAGCAATTCTTTCCCTCGCCAGAGCCATCCCACGGAAAGTAAGGACTGCGCAGCTGCAACAGCCCGTACGCCTACATTTTTGAGTGCAGTTAGGGATGTTGCCTGCAGGGTCCTCCAAAGACGACCTGGCCTCAGCTGACACTGAGCACTTCAGCTCGGGAGGCTGTGTTGGGAATCAGCTGCCCGGGCGCGCCGAAGAAAGATCTAGAGTGCGGGGCCTGCTCTCACCCAGTTCCACTTCTCGCCGATCTGAGGATCCCGCCCAAGTTCGGAGCACCGGCGCCGCCGCCCATCCCAGTGAAGTCGGTGCGGGGCCACGGGAAGGGTTGGGCAGAGGGGATCAGTCATGAGGGAACTCGTAAAGCAGCTACCCTCAAAGATTCTCAGTGTACTCTGTCCAGACAACGTACTTGCCGGCGACGTTTTGTGGAGAGGATGAAAGTTGTGCAGCGTTAGATGAGCAACTTGAAGATTGTAAGATGGTGCGCCTTGACAAGAAGCATGGTGCGCTTCGACAGGGCATGCCTCTACCACCTCCGGGTGGCCAGCCGTGGGGGCCTGTGCAGCAGGGCTAGGCGAGCCTCATCCAGAACTTGGTATGACGTGGTCCTACTTGGCTCAGATGCCTCTATGGGCAGTTTGTCCTTTGTAAAAGGACCGACTCAAGGACCCTACCGAGGTCCTCCAAGTATTCCCAAAATGCCGCGTCCCGTAAGGTCAAAGGAGGTGCCGAGGCCCTCACCTTCTCCACCCTCACTCATAGGATGTGGCGGACATGGGTCATGCAAGTCAGTGCCTGTCTTAGGTTTCCACCCAAGCCTGGTGCAATGGCGATGATTCCAGCGAAGTCTGCTCTTCACCCAGACCAGTGTCCCAGTACTTTGGATCAGATAGCGACGCCGTGGTTGGCATGGGCCTTTGGCCGTGTGAAGACATGCCTGCTGGTCTCGCAACAGTAAGCAGACAGTAGGAATGCACAGACGGCCAACAAGATATTCATGAGGTTTTTCAGTTTTTGCGCTTCAGTTTCGATTTAGCTCTTCGTATCAGGGCGGTGGCCCGATGCCCTGCTTCGGCGGGCCTGGGCCGGTCTCTGAGGAAGTTGCTACTGCTACGGCTGTGCTGCAGCTGGGCTATGCTGGGGTTTTCAGCCTTTGTGGGGGCTTGCAGCAGTGTTCCAGGCGCCAGATCAAACAACTTCTTGTTGTGCTAACTGCACCTTGAACCCAGTATGCTCATGTTAAGAACCCGAAAGTTTGTCCCAGAAGCGGATGGAGAAGTCTTCACAAAGGCCTATGATGGGTATGCCACCGCAGTAGCCTCAAGCTGTGATCCATCGTCTGCAGAGTGTATAGGCTTCCCTGGATGCTTGTGCTTGTCCAAATCTTACAGCCTCAGGAAGCCGGACAACAAAGATGATGATGACGACTCGGATGATGACTCCAGCGACGACGACGGCGCCGGCCCGAATCCAATGATGATGCTAATGATGCTGAGCCTTGGTTGCAGCTAGTCATGACTCCATGATTGTCTGACTACTTTGTCATAATGAGTAATAATTGATATGCTCTCTTGCACGCATCACCATTCGATTGCTGACTCCTGACAAGACATGAACTGACGGGTTATCGGACACCGCAGTGTGTACGTGACGAGAACATGAGGAAACAGATGCAAAATGCCGTGATGTCGAACATGGACAAGGACTGGCAAGTGCGGACATTCTGGGTGGACATTGCATTAAGGTCTTTCAGTGTGGCTGTTGATGATGTCGTCCTAAGTTCTGCGAGCACCGTTGTCCCGTCATCATAAGTTACATGAATTCGAAGCCTCACATCCGACAAGCCAGGCGCCGCCAGAGATGCAGCAGCAGCAGAAGATGCTGCTCAACATGCAACAGCAGTTTGAGGCATTCCCACGCTCTGCCGACGATATGGATTCGTACAACATGCGACTTCACCCATACTCAATTGGTATGAATTTAATTTTAATTGGTATTGGACCGATTCACTCTGGGTTGCTTTGGAGATTGCTTGGGCTCTATGCTTGTGTAGTCTGAGAGACGAGCAGAGTTCTTTCGTTGGAGTGCATTGAAATTGCTGTATATTGCTGTGCAGTCGACGCTCATGGCGAAGATGGGCATGGAGCTGGGCTCTCGGCTGGTCTTCTGAAGCGGCAAGGGACACCCGGCAGATCTTTGTGAGGTCCGCTGGCGGATCTGCGTGGCAGCCCCAGTGGCAGATGCAGCACCCGCATTCGAATTTTATATCCCATGCATATTCAGAAGATGTTTATCGATGTACTTCTCCCAGTGCTAGCCCAGACAGCCTGCATCCATGTAAGAATCCAAGGCCTTCGGACATGCCCATGTTTCCACCGCCTGGAATGGATGGGGGTTGTGGTGGCTGTGGAGGTTGCGGTGGCTGCGGCGGGCCGTGCGGACCTGGGCCATGCGGACCTGGCGGGTGTGGAGGTTGTGGTGGGCCCTGTGGGCCCGGTGGCTGCTGCGGTGGGCCATGTGGGCCGCCCGGCGGTTGTGGCGGCTGTGGAACCTCGGCAGCACAGTCTGCAGCCAGAACAGCATGCGATGCGCCAGTTGCCTGCTAATGATGTCAATATGGAGGTTGACGATGTTACGGGACCCTAATATAGATCCCCCAAACAGTAGGATCCCCTTGTAAACAATATGCTGGTAATGAACTGCTTTGGCATACATCATGATCTAGAGCAGCTGCAGCTGAAGCACGCACGGCTTCTTTGCAAGTGCGGCGGTTGCAAGGCGACAAGCCTCGGCAGGACTGAGTGCATGCACTTGAGAATGCTAGTTTGTGGAAGAAGAGCTGCGCGCAGCATGTGCAGAACCTGGCTTTGCAGTTTGCCTGCGATGGGCCTTGCAGAGCCTGGCAAACTGGGGTGGATGGCATGCGCACCTGCCACTGTAAGCACATGCTAGCCCAGCCAGTGCTGTCGGCCGCTGCGAGGATGGTGGAAAGTCTTCGTTGCCTGCTGCTTTGGCGAACAAGCGATGGGCTGAGAAGAAATCGGACCAGATCTGAGTCTGTGGTGAGTCGCGCGGGTCGGTTGTTTGCCGTGTCTCAGGCAGAAGATGGATGCATCCAGCAACCTGATGAGCGTTGCATCTTCTGCATCAGCTTCGTCACCGAATGCGAATGCCTGAGCCTGGCGCAGTCAAAGAACAAGCTTGACACTTCGGGGTTCTTTGTGACTCCGTACACGCCGTACACTTGCTCAGAAGGCGAAGCTGAGAGTAAATAACACCAAGCGAGGCAATGATGCCTTCGAGCATGGCCGGGGCCCTAAGTACTTGTCAGCAGAATGAGACCTTCTCTGCCACACTCCGCACATGCTCACTCGCATTCCCGCACAATCCTAGCTCCATCTAGCTCAAGCTCTTTGCCTCTTTGAGCCTCAGTTTGCCTGACCGGAGGGGCTGCCAGCCGCCCAGGCCATGGCGGCTGCCCGTATCCCCAGCTTCGCTTGGCTTTTGTCCGAGGGTGAGGTTTGGGGAGGCGCTGCATCTCCCAGAATCTGCATGTGACCCTGCTCTAGGCTGGAGCGACCCCTGAGATGCTTCAGATGATGCAGCAGATGATGGGCATGAACTCAGGTGCCTAATCTCAGATTCCGCCTTCAATTGAATCACTGAAGTTGTGAAGACGAAATTGTCACTGTGGCACCATAGTGCCATAGTATTATAAGTAACCTGGTTTGAGCTGCAGCTTTGTGCCCCCTTGGGAATGTCACTTGCGTCACTTGCGAAATCTACGCGGGGCATTGCGGGACTGACCAGGCGGGTATGTGGACCCATCGCAAAAGGGGGCTGTCGCGAGCTTAGCGATGCCTTGTCCATGATCTTGCCGATGGGCCGATGGGCATATGTTCCGTTCTGCCGAGGTGGAGGCTCAGCAGGAGGCCTTGGCGAATGCAGCACGGGAGTTGCAGGCGGCGCAGGCGGGCCAGCTCACGAATCTTCGGGGTCTTTGAGTCTTTGAATACTTGCAAGTCCATGAAATAGCGGCAAGGCTGACAGTGGTTTTCTGCTGCAATCTAGGAAGCTTCTTCAGGAATTGAAATGAACTTAAACTGTTGAAGGTTTACTAGCTTGGGATTGGTTCTCTGCTGGTTTCTACCTGTACTGGCAGCTTGCGCCCGAGCCACCTTTCCATCCGCTGTGACTTCGGAAATGAAGGAAGCTGCAGCGGCTCAGCAGGCCGTGGAGGACTCAGCGACTTAGTGACTCAGTGCCTGTGGCCTTGTCTCAGCTTGTATTGTCCAATCTGGGTCCAACCTTTCCGCCTCCCTCAATTGACACACCCCACCCTTGATAGAAGTTAAAGCCTGCCTTCTCTTCCAAGGCGCTCGAGTCCATGTCGCCGGAGCAACGCGATGCGGTGTTGGCTGCTATGTCCGCTGCCAGCGAGGACGCTCTGAAACGGGGCATTCAGTGATTCGGGCCCGTAGGGCGCGCCGGCATGCCATGGCGGATTCTGGGTTTGGTTGCTGTTGGCAATTAGTCTTCGCTCCAGCCTCACGTCGCCGATCCCCGAGCATCCCGGAGCATTGGCATGTTCAGGCGCAGCAGGCGCAGCAGTCCCAATTCTATGAGGTGGGGGCTGTGCTTGTTTTCGTTCTCATGGGTTGGAGCAAATCCAGAGAGAAGCAGCCGTACTGCAGCACCCGTAGGCCATGAAAGCACACGAAATGGAGAAGCTGCAGAAGGCGCGTTGTGGAACCGAGTTTGAGGTTTCGTTTGTCCGGAGAAACATGTTGCGCTTTGCTCTCAGAGCGGCTACTACCAGAGCAACCAGCCTGAGCGCTTCAAGGATGGCTACCGACCGTCTGGGAGCCCAGCCACCAGAGTCACATAGTAACATAGCACTTCGAGCAAAGACTAAGACGGGTTTTGCCTTAGGCAGGTTTGCTGTTTGGGCTGGCATGGCCTTAACGTGTTGAGAGTCCGGCTGGTCCATTTTCGCGAGCTTTCAAGGGTCGCTAGTGGGAACTCGCAGACGCTGCAAGTATCTATAGCGTCAAGAACTTTTAGGTTCATAGTTACAGTTTATGATGTGTCGTGTGAATTTGCTGACAGGCTGCGAATGTGCAAGCACTACAAGACCGACCAGTGTTGGCGAGGGCAGGAGTGCACCTACGCTCACAGCCTGGAGGCCTGCCCAACGCACAGTTTGATGTTTCTCAGCAACATTTTTTCCAACCAACATAAGAGTTCATAAGGCCTTTAGGTGTCTTTAGGTTTTAGGATGTTTAGGGTTTTGGGCTTCGCGGGTTTAGGGCCTTGAATTGAAGTTTCTTGCAGCCCTTGAATCGAAGCCACGCGCCATCCACACCAAGCTTCACAGGAACTTCATCCGGCCTCACCGGACCTTCCACGGGTGGAGGCACGCCGGTGTTTTCAACATCCTGTGAAGTAGCAGCTCCTCTCCCTCGGCGCTCTTCCAGTAGCATGTGGCTGCAGGTGAAAGAAACAAATGCGCTGGCGGAGCAGCAGAAGGTGCCCGCCCCCCCACTCCTTCACACCCCAGAGGACACAGCAATTGAAGAATGATGCAGAATGCAGTATTCCATAGATTTCCAGAGTAAGCCAGGTTGAAGACAGTGCGCCGGATGTCCGCCTGAAGAAGAAAAAGGACAGAACCAACATTCGGATGGAACCTTTTTCTCTTGGTCAAAGCTACGGCGTCAAGGTGCAGTGCCCTGCCTCTTTCGAAGCAAGCTTGCATGTTGCATGTTGCCGCAGGCATGCGCAAATAACTGAGGCATGACGTGCAGCAAGAAACTGTGTGAACAAAAGTCATCTGAAATGCATCTCCTCACATGTGGGTGTATGTGATCATTTTGAATGGCAATTGCCCTGAGCCTCCAAGTAGCAATTCTGCTGCAGCTAGTCACTGACTTCGAGCACCTACTCCTAATCCTCGCCTGCTTTCCGGACTGTCCCACGCCCTTTGTGACCCAGGAGTTGTGCAACAAGTGGAAGAACGGTCAGGATTGCGTGCTCGGAAGAGCTTGTTCTTGGCTTAGTGTTCAAGAGGCATGAGGCGGCCAATTTATTCTTTTGCATATCCTGTGTGGCCTGATTTTAGCTGCTTCCTTCAACCTTCCCGTATTCCTACATTTGGTCATTGGCATGACTACCAAGCAGAGGGCCTACGTGTAGCCCAGGTCCTTATGCTCATGGAGAGAAGGAGCTGGGAACGGTGGAGCTTGTCGTCCAGGGCTCATGGCGCCGTTCGCGGTTCACGTTCTCAGAGGGGTGCACATGCATAGCCAAGCATCACCAAGCCCAGGTTTGCGGGCGTGTGAAGACAAGAATCTGCAAGTTCTGGACAGCCTGACACTTAGCTTGCAGTCTGGAAGATCTGCCTGCAACATGGCAAGGACAGGTTTCCAGTAGTGTCGATGCCTTCCTTTCCTACATGTTTACTGAGCCTAGCCTGTTCATCATCAGTCACGCTATGCCATTGCTCATTGCAACTGGCAGACGGGAAGCTGCATGTTCCTGGGCAACTGCGTCAACGCGCATGGCGAGAAGGAGCTCGGCACGAAGAGGTTGGCGTCGCACATGCTGCGTCGCACATGCTGCTAGCGCTCACCTACGCCGTGTGTTGCTAGCAAAAATTGCGAGTCTCTGTCCCATGGCAGCCATGCAGCTGGATACTTCCCGTGACTTGAGCCACCAGGCCTGACTTCATGACTCCTCCAATGAAGAAGAGAAGGGAAGGAGAGCTGGAACCCGAGCGCTGGAGTTCTGAGTCTTAGAGCCTTTGCGTGGCAAACATGCAGATGTGAAGGAGAATCAGATCAGTTGAGCTTGCTCAGTAGGAGCAAGATCACTTTTTGTGCACTGTGAACATCAAACAACCTTGGCAAGCCGCATCCACGGAGATCGTCACAGCCTGGTCCTGCATGGCCAGTTTCAGGCCTCCAGAAAATCCCGCAGAGAGTCCTGCCGAGTAACCCTTGCCGAGTATCCTGTGAGTGCCTACCCCCAAGCGACAGAATCTTGCTGCGAAGTATCCTTAACTGTCCGAAAAAGGCAAAATGTCTCCCATATTGGTTCGCCTTGTGGCGGGGATGGATGATCGAAGTGAATAACTCGATCGTTATTTGTTCGGCTTGGTTGCGTTATGTTATCTCTCGGAAATGTAGCATGGGGCCTAGGGGCGCATCTGCTCAAAGCACGTCAGCACGCCGTCTCAGCCCTTATTGTTGCAAGGTCCATTGACGAGTTCCGAGAGCAGGTCATTGCCAAGAAGGGTGGCAAGGGCAAGGGAAGGCGACCGCACAGCGAGTGAACCAGACTTTGCTTAGAGAGCTCTCCAACCTTTTCGTCTTGCATGTGCCAGGAATGTACCACTGTACGTTTGTGCCAGCCAGTGTGTGATAGTGCCAGGGGCGCCGGAAACCACTGAAAGGGCTTGTGGGCCGCTTGGAGATTCGGATGCTTTCAGATATCATTCACAGATGCTTCTCCAGGCGGTGAGGAGCCAACTGTCATCATCTGATCATCCATGACGAAACTCTAGCAGAAGTAAAGCGCGGTACAAATTCTTCGGGTGTGCTGGTTTTGCGAAAGCATGAGAGAAACATGAGAGTTATCTCCGCTGCCGCAGCACAACCAGTGTCAAGCGGCAGATGATTGGGCGTCGCTCAGCTTGGTAGCCAGCACATGGCCCTTCTGCAGAAGGTGAAATCTAGATCAGCTACTTCTCTCCCCGTGCGTAAAGCCAGTTCCTGTCATTTAGGCCTGGCAATTTATTCTACATGAACAGCGTCGCCGGCCCGCCCGGGGCGGACGTTGGCTGCGTGCTGGCTGCGAATACTTGTCCTTGAGCTTGGACTCATTCCTCGAGAACCCTCGAAGATCCTGAATCAGGATTGCTCCGGCACCGGCAGACTTGCATCCTGCGTTGGGCACCGAGCAACCCCCGTGCCATAGTGCAAAATGCAACCCACAACTTATCAAGACGAAGTTGCTGAACAAGCTCAGCAGCGCGCACTTGCGCTTACTCATAGATTTGATTTGAAGGTTCGTATTCTTCATCCCATTCGTGCTGTAGTCGCCGTGGTGCTGCGGACCCTGTTGCAGCTTGGAGGTCTGTAATTTTTATGACCCTGTGGCACAAAGCTGTCAGAACCATGTTAAGCTATAAAGTACCTACTATCCCAAAAACAACTCCAAGCCGCTCAAGCGCCCTCGGACGTTGAGAGTCTAGTGAAGCCTGAGCATCAAGACGGTAGGGAGGCTCAGCCACGCGCCGATGCAGGGAGAAGGACGGTCAGTTTCATGGTTTCATTGAGTTGCCTGTGGCGGCTCACAGCTCAAGTCTTGGCAGGTGGGTGAGGTTGATACTAAGTTTATACCCTCTTAGACACCAGCTTTTTGTCCTTTTGGTCTTCAAGCTTCTCACGTGCAAAAAGCACCTGCCTCTGTCAAGCCAGAGTTGGCTCCATGCGCCGAACACCACGCAGGCAAGGCAAAACCTGACAGCATGGATAGCCGACCTCAGGTCAGCGATGGCACAAATAAGACTATCTAAGACTCCTTAACAGCTTAACATCCCCAAAGCCCTCCCCCTCTTCAGCTTTGTGCTGAGTGGTGCGGGTCTCACCATTGCCGGACCCTGGAAAGCCCTGCGGTGAGGGGGAGCTTTTGGGAGCGCGGAAGAAAAGAAGTTGAGATCGTGGGAGTCCTGCGCATCGTAGACCAAACTGCGCTGTTTGGGTGTGTTTGTGGCCTTCTGAAACAGATCAGCAGATAGGACGTGTTCACGTTCTTGCTTCGGCGGCTTCGTGGCGAGTATTGATTGGTCCTGTCGTGTCAAGTACTGTACCCTGATGTACCCTGGTTGCCACGAAGTGCCAAAAGCTTTGTCCTTTCGGGCACTCCCTGGGAGGCCTGGCGTCAGCGAGGTCGGCGGGGAGAAGCCATTGGCCCGCGAGGCCCCTCTGACCTGTCGGAAATTTCAGCCATGTTGCCTCGAATTGCGAAAGACTTCGTGCATGTTTCTCACTCTTGGAGGTAGCGATTGCCTCCCGTGCCAACTCTGCGAGCCCACGTTATGCGCAGTGGACTCGGTTGAAAGGGGAAGTCTCGCAATTCGTTGCATACCTATCTTGAACCATGCTTTCTTCTGAGTGTGAGAGTGTTCTTCGTTGAGGCCCCTTCGCTTCGGGGCCTCCATCGTCCGACAACAGCGGGCAGCGCCCACAAAAAGTAGCAGAGCAAAGTAGTAGCAGTGTCGGTAGGGATTGTAGAGCATTGTAGTAATTGTAGAGCATTGCGAGCTTGTAGAGCATCCGGTGTGCGCAGATGCAGCAATGCACTGTCTGTGGCGCTGCTCAGGGGACGGGTGGCAGCTACTATGACAGCTCGAGGCCTTGAGCTCAGAACCTCTACCAGGTCTTCCATGACCAACACATCATTCGCTGCAGCTCTCCCCTGCATCGTTGAGAAAAGTTGAGAACGAACCAGGCAACTCCTGAACCAGCCAAGGCCGCGCACTGCCGAACCCACCGAGTCGTGTCGGAGCCTGGGTAGCCTCAAATCACAAAAGTTAGCCATCCTTGGCTTGCGTTTAGGAAGCTTTAGCAGGCTGCAGGGCCGGATAAGGTCCGGAAAGCTGAGAGCAATTTCTTGTATCATAGGATGGAGTGGGGCCGGCGGGGGGGGGGGGCGGACGGGGTCGAGATTCAAGAGGATTCCCTTTGGGGAGGGAGGGCGCGAGGGGTCTAGATTGACAGTATCAATTTGGATCCTTAGCAAGCATGCGTGCATCAGGGGATCCGTCTGTGATGGTTTCTGTGCCCTCTGTTGATTAGCATCATTGCTACATCATCTCTTTTTTATCATCTTCTACATCTTCAGTGCCGCCATCATCATCAGCAGCATCATCATCATCATCATCATCATCATCATCAGCATCATCATCATCATCATCATCATCATCACCATCACCATCACCATCACCATCACCACCAGGACCGTCACTAACAGCATCAGCATCACCATCATCGCCACCGTCACCGTCACAGTCACCGTCACCGTCACCGTCGCCGCCATCATCATGATCATCATGATCATCATCATCATCATCATCATCATCATGATCATCATCATCATCACGAGCATCATTTGCTTGTTTTACATACCTCCATCTTAGTCTGATGGTACTGGCGAGGCAGGGGCATGTTGGAGTGGGGCCGGTGGTGGCGGCAGATGGTGTGGTGGTGGTGGTGGTGGTGGTGGTGGTGGTGGTGGTGGTGGTGGTGGTGGTGGTGGTGGTGGTGGTGCGGGGTGGCGGCGGTGGCGGCGGTGGCGTGATGGCGGTGGATATGTTGATGAGGATGGTGTGGCGGCAGTGTGCTGGATGTGTCGTTGGGGTGTGCGGGGTGATGGTGTGGTGCTCGTGTTGGGGATCAGTGTTGCTGGTCTTGTTGCGATGCTGAGAGGAAGGAGATGCTGGAGGTGATGCTGTATTATGGTAAAAGAGTAGTGCGATAGGGGCCTTGGAGGAGGCTCAGTGTGCCACGCCCATTTTGAGCCCAACGCCTCAGCGGAAGGTGCAGAGTGTGGTCTGGGGTGATTGGGGGCGTGTGGGGGCCGTGTGCTGGGGAGTGTGGCGGTGAGGTCTGTCAGGCATTTTTAGGCCCAGCTCTTGAAACCAACTAAAAATTTGTGAGCGCATTGCTTCTGCAGACTATGCGCCTTCAGTTGGCATCACCGCGAACTTTGACCATGTGTCGAAACTGGCTCAAGCTGAGGCTTCTCTCGGCCACAGCAGCAGTTTTGTCCCATGGTTGGTTGCAGTGGGAACGTAGCGGGTTGCAGTGGTTTGCGGCCTTCTTGGGCAGCTTTGAGCCGAGCTAATCAGACGGCTCATTCACAACTGCGGACCACTTCAGTCAGATGACTTGCCACTGGAACACGGCGAGATGTTGCAACGAAACACTACGAAACGCTGCCGAACCCGAGGCCAACGAAAGCTAGCTCTGGGTATTGCGCAGCTTTCTTCGGATCTTCCAGAACTAAGACTCCTTGAGAATACCAGACTGAACTCTAAGCTGACGGCTGAGTCTTGTCTCAAAGGGGATGTGTGTGTGTGTGTGTGTGTGTGTGTGTGTGCGTGCGTGCGTGCGTGCGTGCGTGCGTGCGCGTGCGTGCGTGCGTGCGTGCGTGCGCGCGTGCGTGCGTGTGTTTGACGATGATTGCGACGTCTCCGGCTCAGGTCAAACCTGTCAGCAAGCAGAGTTTGACCCGAACAACGAAGAGTTCGAACTGATTGCGGAGACCGACCTGCTGCCGAGTGATGCCATCACCAACGGTGAGACGAAGCTGCCGGCCGGCCAATCATGCGGAACTTATACCCGCCCGTTTGAGGAGTGCACGTGCAAGGGCACGTGATGCTGCGTGTGTTTTTTTCTAGATATGTGTGTGTGTGTGTGTGTGCGTTTGTGCGTGCGTGCGTGTGTGTGTGTGTGTGTGTGTGTGTGTGTGTGTGTGTGTGTGTGTGTGTGTGTGTGTGTGTGTTTTTTGTGCGCGTGGGTGTTTCCTAGCGGTCTTGTCCCGTCTTGCTTCCTTTGGCCATGCGCTCGTGAACCTCGACATCAAAGTACCTTGACGTAATAAATGACCTACAGGCACACCGAGTCATGCGCGGATGTACTCGTACCAGTTAGTACACGCGCTACACGCCATGGCAACCTTGCAGGACCCTCCCCCCCTCCAGCCTGTGCGGTGTTGGGAGGATCTCGACACAGCGGACCAGCAACTAATCGCGACGAGATATGACAGGCGTCGGGAAACGACCAACTCAGGGGATGCCAAGGAGCGCAAGGAGAATCGGCAGCGCAAAGCCGCAGAGCTGCGCGTGTTGGAAGGCTGGACCTGGGGTCTGTTTAGAAACAATTGCATTGTGCAATCAGTCTTTGATCGAGGGTTCACGGTGACTCTGGTGACGGCCGGAGTGTTTTGTTTGTGTGGGCCCGTGGGCCTATAGTGACATTCGGTGGACGAAAAACCAAAGCGCGCACTTGTAATAAATGGCCGTGTTCTATATAGTAATACAGTATAGCCTTCTCCTGCGAATGCGCTGCCCGAAGACTAACGCTGACCCTTCGCAGGGGGTTTCCCAATGTCCTCGTCTCTTGGAAACCCTCAATCTTCCAGCCCGCGTTGCAGGCCTTGCACCGGCTGGAGAGTGCATCATTGCAGCCCGGGCGAGAAATGAGGGCACCGGCAAGTCCGCATCTGCAGAGTGACGGGGAGCACCTTCTGGCATCCACCGTTCTGAGTTGTTTTGCGCTCGGGAATGTCCAGATGAGCAGAGCGGTTTTTAAGACAATACTCAGTATCACCGGTTCGTTGGGCCGGCGTGGCACCTACCCGTAGCAAGAATACTTCATTTGTGTCTCTCGCGTGGCTCATGGCAAAACTCCCAATTGTGACAAACTCCTTACACAATCCTCGTGGTAGTAGCTGAACAATTTGAGAAAGCACTCTCCTGGCTCTGCGGTCTTTTGAAGCTACTTAGTAGCTTCAAAAGACCGCAGAGCCAGGAGAGGGCTTTCTCAAATTGTTCGAGGATGCAGCAGCGTTTGAAGAGCTGCATCAAAACGTCTACATCGGCCGCTGGTATGGCTGCTGGTGTCACTCGCCATCCTCACCTCTGAGAGGTGGCATGCTGGAGGATGCAGAAGCTTGTTTGAAGAAAAGGTCCTAAGATCGAAGATGCGGGCAGAGCGGATGCAAGTGAGCCTCTGCAGCGGGGTTGAACATTAAGGCTGGGGTGTTCTTGACTGCACTCTGGGCTCCAAGAAGAATGATTTGTTGGCATGGTTGGGCTTCATCTATGTGTGAAGAGTGCCGAGGCCAGAAGTCCAACTCACTGCAGTCTCACTCGTCTTCGCAGCTGAGACCGCAGACGGCCAAGGCACTTGGCAGAGCAAGGGCGCTGCTTCGAAAACTTAAGGGAAACAGCTGAAGATTGCCATGAGATAAGAATACAGGGGAGGGAGCAGCTGCAGTGTTACACAGGGCCCGGCTGCCGGAGAATGCAGGTGAACCAGTAAGCTGCGAGGGGGTTGGATGTGCGACCGCAGACTCAAGCCCCTTGACAGAGCACACGCTAGAACACCACAGGAGAATATCATATGTGCACGAAAATAGACGGGCTTGCTCTGCAGCTCATGCATTAGGTGCTAGGTTGTCGCTGGTGGGTTTCTGCGGGCTCTGGTGGGCTTTGAAAGCTTCTTGGCTTCACGTGCTACCTTCGACACCTTGAACCTTGTTGCCAACTTATTGCCCTTCACGACGAAAATGAATCCCCTCTGACCCTGGGAGCCTATGACTGACGGGCCCTCATTCCTGGCCTAAGTGGAGAGGCCTCAAGCCGGAAGAGCTCCAGGTCCGGAGGATCCTCAGGCGTGGGCTTTCGCTTTGTCTGCTGGGGATCTTGGCTGTAGGGCCTGTAGGGCCTGGGCCACTGTAGGGCGTTCAGCCCAGCTTCTGCTTCTGTTAAGTGCCCTGAATCTCCTGGGCTGCAAGTTCACCACAATAACATCTGTTGCAAGCAAGCCGGAAGCATCACCAGCCTTGTTGACAAGTCCAGTCATGACACATGACATGAATGAGTCTAAATAGTTCCAAGGTGTTCCCATACAGTAGCGTAGACGGGCTTGTGAGGTGTGCCAAGATCTTTGGACTCACGAGCCCCGCCCCGAGCTGCAGCTGTTGTCACAATTTCGCAGCAGATGCTGGGCCAAGCTGAGAGAATTGAAGTGCAGCCGATTCGGACAATTGTTGGTTTTTCACAGAAGTCTGCCGGCACTCCTCCAGCGGCCCTGAGACATGCACACGCAAAGACTCCATCAATGCTGTTGCGCGGCGATTTCAGTTCCAAGCTGCGTAAAGGAGCGGAGCCACTGAAGAGGCAAAGCACAAATCCTGGAGCAGAGTTGCGCAGACGGGAATGAAAGTGGGTGGTGCGAGTCGCCAGGTCACGGGAGGAACTGGACGCGCAGGCTTATAGGCTTGTAGCCTTGTGTAAAGATGGCTTGGCATGCTCGAGTATGGCGACTCGGACAGTAGGGCAGCAGCCGGACACCTGTGAATGTTGTGAGCCATCTCCAACCTGCGGCAGCTCTCTGCCAAGGTGTACATCGAGCCACCGCCGATTGAACTGATCCCGCCGTTTGTGCCGATCAACGCCGCAGCCCGGTGATGCCTAGTGCTTCAGTTCAGTGGCAAGCTCGACAGGTCCACGGCTGCGGACATGTAGACGCCAGTCAGCGGACTCAACCTTAGCTGGATACGTGATGTCTGCGATCGGACAAAGATTCATTCATCCTGAAGTATGACCCCCGTCTCCCTTAACATGCTGGATTTTGCCATTTATACACAGGGATGTCAAGGTACCCGAGTTAAAGTAGATCTCCTGAATGCCCGGTGAATGCGGCGGGTCTGAACAAGTATTCCTGTCCGCTCCATTCTAAGAATGGGGCGGGTGAGTGTGCAGTTTCACCCGCTCTTCGCGCTACATCAGGTTTTTTTAAACATCCCGTGGCTGCAAACACTGTGCTGCCTACTTCTTGATCCCACCTTCTTTGCTGAAGCTCGTTTTAAACACAACATTGAGCTATGAGATGTCCCCGGCAAAGAACAACACCGCCACAGACATGGGCCAGCCGTCCAAGTCCAAATCGTTTGAAGAGTAATGGAGACTCTGTGCTCGATGCCGCCAGCCAGCCTCCTGCCTGGGCAGAGTTGCATGGCTATAAGCAATGCAGTCTTGAGATGCCGGATTACGGACCGGAGCCTGTGTAGTGTTCTAAGTCAGCTCAGAGCGACTGGGGGAACATGTTTTCGCAACATTGGGATAATCCTTGAAGCCCAAGCAAGAGAGTTTCTTTCCATCAGTGAGATTGACGGGAGATCCCTGGAAAGCTGTCTCACGCTCGTTGGCTTGGCTTCAGAACTTTAGGATCTTGAGCGGGCTCACGCGCTGCTGGCTTTTCTCTGGGCTTGACTTGCCAACTCGTTTGGACTCTAAACACCACCATACAGCATAGCAGAGCTGAGACCCCTGCGCATTCCTCAATGCTGTGCTCAGGCCTTGAAGATGAAACTTAGCGGATTAGGTGCTTGACCCATGCAGCAAAGCTGCATCGGAGACCGTCGATGGAAGGAGATGTCGTTCAAACAGCAGCGGCATGCAAGTTTTGACGTTCCAGCATCCCCACTAAGATATTTCCAGCCATTCAGCGCAGGTGGCACGCCTCCGTGGACGTGAGACAACGCTGGTGCAACAGCTCCAGCAGGCCAAGAGCGGTCTGCTGAAGCGTCAAAGCCCATGACACATTTTGCCATCGGCTCTCAGAAGCCTAAATCTCACTTTATCCCTGAGAATCAAAGTTCGCGCCTGTGACTTATTCAGGCAATGCGGCACGAGACAGCCTGGACAATTCTGAATGTTTTGCCGCTCAAAGTAGAATTAGGGGAAAGCGCAATGACTCGGACCTGCAGATGAGGCAAAGCAAAACGCTGTAGCAACAGCAAACTTCAATCTTCAGAAGGCCACAATCGTGAGGGCAGACTCTTAATACCTCGCTTTTCGATACAAAGCGGACAGTCGCACGACCTTTTCTTTGTGCAATGTAAGGAGTGAAGAGAACGAGTCAGCATGAGTTAAGAAGTGAATTTTGGCTGTGGAGTTCATGCGGCCTCGTTTTTGTGTTCTATGCTCATGATTTTCGAGTCAAAGAAACATGTATGGAATGAAGGTCAGGTCTTGTCTGCTTCGACGGCTTCGCAGACGCTTAGCAGATGCTTGTGAACATGGAACGTGCGAGCCCGCAACAGCCTGAATACAGAAGCCCTTGGATGGGGACATTGAGGTGGGCACAACATAACACCCCATGCGCGCACTTTCCTGGCGCCCTTTGGCCCATTGCATGCTTTTGTTCGTGCACATTGTTCCCACGGTTTCGATGAATATGGGCTCTTGCAGATCATCAATCACTGACTGCCACCTGAGAGAAGCCGCCACATAGCTGGTGTTCTGGCAGGCTGTTGTCCCCGTGCCCATGGAAGTTCCACCGCCCGAGCCGAAGAAGAAAGGCAGCGGGTTTTGGTTGCGCTTGGTTCAAGTTCGTGTCGTTGTCGTACCGTCCCCACGATCGACCTATGCATCCAGGATGACCGCCCGAGTTGTCTTGACTCAGTTACTAACCGCCGTCAATCGCTCTATCCCTTTCGGTTCGAGCCTACGCACCCTGTGCCCTGCGAAGCCACCGGTGCCGCGGTGGGGGCACTCAGAATGGCTTCACCGAGCCCACAAGTTTGCAGACTGCCCAAAGAGTCAGCAACCATGAAGTGGAGATTGATAGATGCTACGGCAAGTGCCAAGCTTTGGGGATGCAACGCACTGAGATCGTAGCGGCAAATGTAACTGCAAAAGTCACATGAGCAAACTGAGCAGCAGCAATATCAGTAGCAGCAGTAGCAAGTCGAACAGAGCCAAAGGTCTTGATCGTGGCACATGCGTGGCTGCCCCGGCCGACTCGCTTGAAGCTGTGTGCGTGAGGTCATTCTTAGATTGGCTGGCACCAACATAAGATCGAGGTGAGGTTCTTGAATTATTGGTGTTTCAAGAAAGTTGACGGCATGAAAATACGAAGGTATTGTGTGAAACCAAAGGGTGGCTATGCCACTTTTCTTCCCGAGCGAAGTATGGTGTCGCGTTCCTACACATGATCTCCGAACACATCTTAGCACTTGTCTTCAACTGTCAGGCAAAGAATCTGCTTACTTGACACATGCGGCGGTCAATCTTGCACTATGGCTTCAGGGTGTAGTGGTCACTGCATGATTGTCTTGATGTGGGATGTTGTGCCTGTTTCGCCAGGTTGGGGGGGCCAGGCCTGGTTGTGTCATGGGACGTGCAAAGATGTACGTTGCACATCATTGCAGCGCTGGTTCCTGAAACTCCCGAAGCTCCCTCTGGCAGGCGTGTGGATAGGCCGAGTACTCCAATGAAGTCAACTGAGCCAGTGCCCAAGATCGCCCACGTGGACCCGGGTTCTCGTCCTGACTCGAAAAGTCGTTTCTACCCAAGTCAACCTTCCATTGTCAAGACCAAACCCAGAGGGTCTGGGAGAGTGTGGAGTTTGCAAGGCCACCTCCAAACGGAAGATCAGAAGCTGAAGCCGAGGCTTTCTGAGAGTTTCACCCTGACATCGCCATGGCTGCTGCACACGTAGAGCCCAAAGCACCATTGTACACCTCTTCTCTTCATCCCACCGTTTGCAGGTGGTGGGCGATGCTCCACAGGCCTGCCACAGAGTTGCTGTCGTGTTGTCGACTGTTCAGTGTGGCTCATTTGGTCCATCAAATGCAGGGACTATGATGGACTATAAGGGGCTCATGTCGTAGTCTTGGTAGAATTGGTAGAGTACGGCGTTGCATAGCTGTTTCTGTCGAAAGTTCTTGCAGGCGCATGAGCGGATCAGCCGCATCCTGGATATCGTCAAGGGGAGCTCGAAGGTGACGACCCATGTGCTGAGTGTGTAAACATAGGAAGTGACGTGCATGTGAGAGCTCGCCACAAGTCGCGTCTTTGAGTTGCCCGAATCAAGTCGCTACACAGCCACCGGAAGCAAAGTTCTCACCCAGAAATGGGGCATGGCCGCCAGGTGCAGCCAGCCACATCGGCTGGGCGAAAGAAGGCCGCTGTCCTGGCGCTGTGACTGTAATTGTGCGGTCAGTGCGTCTTCGTGACGTTCATCGCATTGATGAGCTCCGAACAAGCAGACCTACTACAAAGATAACATTCCCGTGTGAACGAACGACTCCGCTGGTTGGAAGTCAAGTCCCGCCGTCGGTGCAGAGATGTGTAGAGTCCGCCATAGTCCGCCACTGGATCAAGGGCATGTTCTTTGTACACTGCACGGGAGCCGCTGTACTTCACTTGTCGGCGTGGTATGTCAGGCACAGAGCAAGCAAAACGGAGAGCGACTCAGATCCGGGAAACGTGCTGTCCCGTTTCGGTTAGAAGCTGCTTTGCTGAATGCTGATCGGCCGCGCCAGCGTTGTGCGCAATGCTTGTGAGGCAAATCTCGAAAAGAGGAGAGCATGCCTTCCACAGAAGGCTCGGCATGGGGTTCGTGGTGCTGATGTATAATAGTGTAGCTAAGCAGCTAAGGTAAATGGCACCTTGCCTTTCTCAGCAGTGTCTGCATTCTCGTCCCAGACGTCGTTGCTCCATGACTTCCGAATCGTTCCCTCTGGAACAACTGGGTACCCGCAACTTGATGAAGAGGTATGGCTAGCAGCATGCAGCTACAAGTAGGAGGCAAGACATGTGGAGCGCCTCATGGCGCTGTGCAGCCCTGCCTGAGGCCGGACCAAGGCCAAGGGCATAGAGAAAGGCGCCGGGAAAGGCGAAGGCGCGCACATTGAAGGGATGAAGGGGGGGGGGGGCTGGGCGGAGGGCGGAAGAAGATGAGGACAACATGGCTCCCAAGACAAGTCACGCTGTGCCCACGTAATTAATGCCACGCTGTGGGGACACAGGGAGAGAGAGTGTGCGGTACTTGAGTATCATGGCTACCTAGGGAAAAATCGGCTGTTTACCTGGAACTTCGGCTAATGTGCCCAGACACCCATACAGGAGGTGAAAGCCGCTCGCCGGGGGCGGTCACAGAAAGGAAGGTAGGAAGGAAGGTAGGAAGGTAGGAAGGAAGGCAGGAAAGCAGGAAGGCAGGAAGGCAGGGAGGCAGGAAGGAAGGAAGAAAGGAAGAAAGGAAGAGAGTGTGGCACAGAGAGGCCGAGAAAACAGGGGCGCGGCTTTGGCCCCTTGCCCCACGAAAGAAAGAAACAAAGAAACAAAGAAAGAGAGGGCCAGTGGCCCAAGTTCCAGCGCTCGCCACCAAAACTGGGAACGGCTCGTCCCTCAGGCCCCGTGAAAGAAAGAAAGAAAGAAATACAGACATAAAGCAAGACAGAAAGACAGAAAGAAAAAAAGACAGAAAGAAAGAGAGGAGAGAGAGAGCCAGCGCAGCCGGGGCCACTCCATCTGAGGGGCCTCTTAGCTGCGTAGAAGATGAGCGAGCGAGGATGTCCTTGTCCAGGACAATGGAGAATCAATGTTTTGATGCCGTTGGGGCTGCACAGCTGCCCACAGTCCAGGTAGCAACAATGCAGTTTTGCAGAGAATAGGCCGCGAGCTGAGCTCTGGGGATCCACTCCTAGCTTTGTAGGGACACTTTGGCACCTTTCGGCACTTGGCCCGAAGACCCCTCTTGTAGCCTTCACTGCCCGTTGCACATCAAGGTCCAGAGGGCGTGCAGCCGTCTGAGAGCGATGGCGTGCCCTGCGGCTTAACCCGACTCTACACGATCGACTTGCACATTTGCTTGCGCTGTGGCCAGCGCACGAAGAGCATGCACAAGCAGTGTGCTGAGCCAGGCAAGGGCAAGATGTGGATCAAGAAAAACAAGATTGCAAAGGCGCAGAGACCTGACAGATCGAATCCAGATGCATCATGCTTACTTCTACTTGCCTCTGCAACGTGCCAGCGAGTTGTGATGTTTTGTTCGTACAGGAGGTGGAGGTGGAGGCGAGCAGCCAGGGGAGGCACACAGAAAGCGTCTGAGCTTTGTGGCAAGTGCAACCTCGGCACTCTGCTGTCATTTTCCGTAGTCCCCTTGGCTTGTTTGCACACGGCGAGCGGTTTAAGGGAAGACGGATTTCTATTTCATGTGCTCATATATCTGTCAAGGTGAGTGTACAAGACCATGAGGACCGCACTGTGCACAGGACCGGCCTGAGTGCTCACGCCAAAGAGTTCACCCCGTTCGCAGCGGAGCTGAAGCCAATCGGTCCGGCTCTGTGATAAGAGTTCATACGCGCACTGCATGGCGAGCTCACCAGATTAAATCTCTGGCAGTGGAAAATGCTTGGCAAGGATCAGCCATCAATGCCGAAGCGCCGGCATTTGTGCCCTGGAGCTGTGGATTCCTTTGTGTCCTTGTGAGTTCGCACTCAAACAGTTCAGCACAGAAAGGGATGAGTTGACCATCGTTGCCGAGCAGGTGCCGCAGCTTGTCTCAAAGTATCCTGGGGAAGTGCCAGGCTTCTATGTGGAGGCTGGGAGCAGAAGAGGGCTTGTCTCTGTTGCTTTCGTGTCGGTATAGCAGGCCGAGGCAGTTTTCGGATATCCGGAGCACATCGACCATGCTGACCACTTTCAGGATCCAGGCGCGGGCTGCAGCCAGTGGACAGTACGGTAAAGGGTTCCTGGTTGAACACTATAACAGAACGCGTCCGGGCTTTCACAACCAGTGTGGCACAGCATGCATCTAAGGCTCAGTACAATCAAGTGACCTAGTGCAAAGTCATGTAAAGTCATGTAATGCTGTGCCAGGATGGTCCTATCCAGTCTTTTGGCCCAGCCGACTCTCTCAGCGTGTTGAGTGTTGAGGTCATTGCCAATGCAGCATCCACACAATTCCACACATCTCCACTCAGCCCTCTCATTCTACTCGAAACAACACGAGGTGACAGCCTGGCTCCCTGCGCCGAGTCCGACTTTCCCGAGGTTCCATACTTCCATCAGCTCCCTGTGGTGCTTTTGGTTCTTGGCTTTCACGCTGATTTGGGGTGTTGTTGCCTTGCATGTGTTTGCTGCATTCTGGTGTCACGCCAGCGTCACGGCATTGGGCGGCATCCCCTGCACCAGCTCACATGCTTTTTGTTTTAGCCGCAGGTTGTTCCTGGCACCCGTGAGGGCGAGTTCGTTGGGTGTGGACCCCAAAAAGCCCGATGAGTTTGAATGGCAGCGCCCTTCAGAATTTGCCCCATCAGAGCATCTGCCCTCCAGACAAATGCAGGAAACGTAGAGTGCAAACCTGGAGAACCGTGCTTTCCGTGATCTGAGGGTGCTGAGCACGTCCCAACATATGAGAACAAAACAAATACATCGTTTCTCAGTTTTCTAAGCCTGCATCCGAAAGCATGAAAAGATGTAGTACCCTGCTTGAACCCGAAGCCGCAGTGCCCAGACCACAAGCATTGTGATGCCTAGGATAGCCTCTGAAGCTCTTTGAAGGTGTATGAAGGTCGCATAAGGCAATGGAAGATCACACGCTGTTTTTTTGGTTCGGAACTCCACAGGCTTCAGTGCATCGCCGAGATGGGCGAGTGGGTTGTCTTCCGTGAGAAGAAGCCGAAAGCCAGGCTTGGTCAGCTCGCCTTTGTGGTATCACACAGCAGGAAGCTGCTGAATGCTCTGGGCAATTAAAAACATTGATCTCTGGAGATACACCACAAAAAAACATCGATCTATGGAGAGACACACCTCCTTTGCAAACAAAGGCCCTTCTTCTGGAATATGTCCACCGGCGAGAAGTCTTGGGAAGCTCCTGTCATCCTGCAGGCATCGTGTGAGATGATGCGGGGTGCTGTACTGTCTCATGTGATTGCGGAGTAAGGTAGTTTGCCACTTTCAATGCTGCGTAATGATGCCTGCATTCTGGCCACTGCTCGGCAGCGGGTAGATCGAGTGAGCACGTGCTTGTAAGCCAGCTGCGTTTCAGGAGCTCGGGGTTGCGGATACATTGCTGAAGTGGTCGGAGGACCCTGGCTACTTTCGCTCATTATCAGTGTTGCACCAATCGGTGGGGCAGATAACGATGTCACCGATGCCGAAGCCACGTAACATCAGATGCAGGCTTGGACAAAGAGCATGCAACTACTGGTAGCCGCTGGTAGACTCAATTTGGAGGACCTTGGCGAGACGGGTATCGAGCCCAGTCCAGATGCCTGGCGCTCAGTCCGCGAAAGGCGAGTGTCACAGCGTCAATGGGACTGGTCACTGGGCACACAGGCACACCGCAACAAAGCGCCCCTCAGGTCCGCAATCCCGAGCCCTTCCGTCGCAGAGATCGGTTCAAGCCGAAAGCAGGCAAGCATGTGCAAGCATGGGCAAGCATGGGCCGGTGCTTGTTGACTGATGGCTCGGGTGTTCAGGGCAAGTGCAGCCTGCGTTTCCAAGGATGCACAAGATGCTTCTGACGTCCTGCGGTCACCCTTGCAATACCGGCTCATGCCATGTAAGCATCAGGCTTTGGCCCGGTGGACCAGGGACATGAACCCATACAGTAGCTCTGTTCGGCTCTGTCGAAGGAGGGCGACCATGTACGACATCTGATGACAACCGCTTAACCACCCCAGCTCGGAGTCAAGCAAATTTTAAGTTTCTCAACCTCAGATACACTCCGCCATGTACGCAAAGCACAAAGCCGAAGTGGGCAGTGGCCCAGAATCGACTTGACCTACTTTACTGTCTCAACATCACCAGAGGGCTCGCAAACGTGCGGTCAACTCCATGGCCTCATGGTGGGCAGCCTCTCGCTGCCGCACGCGCTGGCTGCCTGTAGCTCTGGGACTTTGTGTCGGTATTCTCGTGGGGCTGCGACCGCGCCCAGGGGACGCTGAGGAGGCTTCCACTCCGCAAGCTACATGGCATAATTCCACTCGGCACTTATTCCTGCAGGTCTTAAAGCCATCCTGGATGATCCGTCACTACAAATTCAAGACTACATCCTTCAGTCCTCCAAAAGATCTAATGGCATTCGCCTGCGACAGCGAGCGTCATCCCGATTCCATTTGCTAATTGATGCTACAGATTCGGGGTATTTCGGGGTGCATGGGTCCCAGAGCACACCCCTTACCTGCAAGAGGGCCGGCTTTCGACTGCGCCTCGATCCCTCAAAGGCTGAGATCGAAGTACACAGACCACCGAATGTATTCCCAGGACGCAACATGTTCGAGATGTGCATTTTGCCAAACACTACGTGTGCATCTTCTTTTCTGCGTTTTCTAGCCGCCATTCAGAAGGAGATCCAGGACTTCAACCAAGACCTGGCAAGCCTCCGGTCTTCATCTTGAAGCACAACAGCAAGGTGCTTGTTTCCAGGAAGGCGTTCCCCCCTTGATGTAACCCCATTCTATCTACTAGTGAATCTACGTAGTGTTCAGTGACGTTCATCCTTTAGGCTTCGTTCTTGTTTCCCATGTTTACACATGCTCTGTTGAGCCAGACCTCACTGGCTGCAAGCCTGAGGCGCAATAGTACAGTGGTAGTGAAAAGCACCAAGTGCATCAAGTTGCTAAGTGCAGCGCCATCAGGCCGGAGGGACCTTCTCTCGCATGCTGCTCAAAGCAGTCTTCAAGAACCAAGCTGCTGCTCGGCCTTGCTACGGAACGCAAACAGACATTGCCAACTATTGCCAAAGGGCGCAGCGCGGATTGCTACCGCTTTGTGATGTCAGCCTTGCAGCACAAAGTTGAGGGGGTGGGGTCGTTCACAAGCTCCTGGTCTTCTGCCTTTTCTAAGTCAAGTCGCATATTGTCGTCAGCGGAAGACTGGCAAAAGACGAAAGACTTTCCACTGTACACTCTTCCCGTGAGCTCTGACACGGTTCTCTGTGGCTGCTCCTGACTTTCTGCTGTGGCAGTGCTGCTCAAGCTGTGCGTTCCTTGCCCAAGTCCGGCCACGCCGCGTCAAACCTCCGTTGGGCATGGTGTTTGAACCCCACAACCCCAACGCATTACAAAGCCTGGAGTACGTAGCGTCGTGACACGAGTAAGATGAACATAGGCCCTGCAGGAAGGCAGACTGAACAACCATCACATGGTTTTCAGACTTGTTGGAGAACATGCGGTGGAGGGGTTTGGTACGGGTGGAGGGGAACGTGCGAAGGGAGATGCTCAAGACCATGGCCGCTGCACAGGAGTTCTTAATCATCGGCGATGACAGCCCCTTGCTTCCGAAGACCCGCAAGGTGGACTTTGTGGCAGTCCCTCGGCTAAGCGATGACGAACGCATGAAGCTATATGGGCCCTCCCGCGATCGGGAATGTCAGGGAATTATAACAGGGGACATGAGTTGCAAGAATTCCAATTCAAGAAAGCATCCAGAGCGCTTGAATTGTCTTGAGGTCTTGATGCGGAATCCCTGTTCTTGGAACGTGGCTTGGGCCAATGAATGCCCGGCCAAGGCTGAGCTTCCTGAAAAGCCTGAAAAACAACTTTGGGAGCTAGTGGTAGCTGATGAAACTGGCCTGAACGCTCACGACTCAACAGCCTCCGCCCCTGGACATGCCTGGATCACTGTGTTCCCAGGCCATCTCAAAAGTCAAATGCCTCAGGAACTCTGAGAGAGGGAGAGAGGGGTGCTTCCTGCGAGTCAAAGGGTGCAGTTGAAGAAGAAGGGTTCTTCCATGCCGAAAGGCTGCAGATGTCCTTGGTGTATGCTCGAAGCAAGCATACGAGTCGCCAACGGAGTAGCCAAGTGTAGCCAGGCCTGACGTCAAAGCGAGCTCCTTGGTGTGGGTGCAGGTCGCTGCATCCATAGCCATAGGGTTTGGCAACACTCTAAGGGAAGTTACATGGCCTCTTAGTATGATCCCTTACCTCCTTCAAAAGCTTCTGAAGTATGGGCTCTTGGGCTGTATAGTATAGCGTATGTAAAGGGTGTATAAGGGGTGTTTCAGGCGTCCCCATTTAAGGGCCCATACTGAATGACCATGTACTGGTATCTACCCCAAGAAACACGACAACAACAACTGAAAAAAAACACATCTGATCATCGCATTCGATCTATGTTTTTCTCTGATGTTGATGGAGATCGCACAGTTTGCTGACACTTGACCTGAAACCGGGCTTCAGCCAGAAAGGACAGTACTGATATGACGATCTCAACACAGGGACTGGCTTCGCTCGGAGCCTTCTGCCAGGCTTTCGAGTTCCTCCGGCCAACTTTTGGCCCGAACCCGTTTCAACCCATGGGTCGCCAAGCTGCACGGTAGCATCTTCTGATGTCCTTGGCTTCCCAGAGGTTTGGGTCTTCTTGGATACTCGTGCTGCGTGCCCTTTAATTCTGCGCTAAGCCCATCATCGGAGCTGCGGCCAACAAAGACCTGGATAGGTGAAATAGGTGGAATGGGCCTGCTTATGCATCTCTTTGAAAGTCGGGGCCTTTTCGGGTCTACACCTGCAGCGCTTGAAAGGTGTGGTCTGAGTTCGCTACAGCAGAGTGAGGGTGTGTCAGAGCGCAAGTCTTCGGAGACCAACAACTACGGCGCGTAACTACGGGCTGGTCTGAACCGTAACAGGGTGGGTACCATGTGGCACACACATCACGATGTCTTCCCTTTGCTCCTCAAGACATTAGACGTTCCACTCAAAAGAATTTCCGTGTGTGTGTGTGCAAAGACAAGAGAACTTTCATGGACTGCACATTTCGTGTTCAGGATATCTCGAACGACACACCACGCAGCAGGACGGAATCGGTATGAAGTTGCTTGTTGTTCTGGCTGACAGTCTGCTTGCATGATCAGCGATTGCAGGAGCTTAAAGACTGGGTATTGAACTCACGGTCCCCAGATGGGATTGGGGTGCTCAGCTACTATCTGTGGCAATCGATGTTGCTTCGGCTGCAAGGCTGTCAGTGTTGCTCAGCACGTTCATATGTGGACGGGAAGTGTGTGACTTTCGGGCAAATGGACCGAGCAAACGTAGAAATCTGTTTATTGTAGCGCAGCACGATGCTTCCAAAGCCATGTCTGGCGTACTGGTGGTAGTTTTGTAGGAAAGGCACCACCGACAATAGTATCAAGACACTGAGAGAAGGAGAAGCGACAAGTGACACGTGAGACACATGCGTCTGCAGCTTCGGGATAGAACGGAGAACGGACAGTAGGTCGGGTAGGCTTGCCCACCAACGGCCACATGATGCGAAATCTATAACAAGGGGCTGCCAGTCAGTCAAGCACTGGTGAAGTTCTATCGCAAGGAGACGAGATTGGTCATATCGAGCGTGCGCTTGAACTAAGATTCGCGCCAGAGTGCCACTTATGGCACAAGAGGCTGTCGCAGGGGAAGCAGCCATTTGAAGGCGCAACGCCTCAGAGGTGCAATGACACTGTGGCTCGGCCTGGCTGGAGATTCTTGAATGGAAAAGGCAGGGACAAGGCTGTTGGTATATGGATTCAATCGTGCTGGTTTGTGCTCACCCAAGGCTCGAATTCGCGAGGACCTTGCCGCTGCTGACCCACGACAACTGGCGAGCCTCGGCAAATGAGCCTTAACTTTCAAGTGTTCAGGGCAGCCTCTTCTGACAGCTTGTGATCGTGATTTGCTGCTCAGGCACTGCTGGATCTTTCAGGAGACCCTGATGGAAGACATGCGGCAATGCTTTCAGGCTTTCGAAGCCCAGCATGCAGAACGATTTTCCAAATGCCAGTCGAGCTAACTGAGCGAACCCGATGCCAGAAATCAGAAATTTGGAGAAAGTCAACCCCAAGAACCCTACGACCTCTTTCAAAAGCTTGCCTTATCTTGCCTTGATGGCATGGAGCCTGAGCCCAGGAAGAAATTCTCTCCAGGGAGGTGATCGACTGGGACCTCTTCAACTCTGCCGCTGCCAATCAAAGTGGGGAGGCGGCTCGACTCAAGAGGCAGTGACTGCTGCCCCTTTGGTGGCCCAAACCGCTCCCTTTTGCTTTGTATTCCAGTTAATTAAAGTCTTCATGTACAAGGCAATCTACCAAGCCACAGAAGCCATAGAAGCCATGTTCTGTTTTGTGGACATGAACCGAGTTTGCCTGAGGCGCTCTTCTTCGAGCGTGCCTGGAGCGTGGCGCGCTGGGCGGCACCATCGCTTCAGATCAGACGGCACAAGCCATGTGACCTGGCATGTGGTTCGCTACTATCACAGTTAGAAGAGAGGTGCAGGTGAAGAGCCAGGCAAATTCTGCACATGCGCACCCCCCCCCCCCCCCCCACCTTGCAACCTGCAAGTCGGCTTGTCTATGCTTGGATCTGGTAAGGTGCCGAGCACTTCCGTGACCCTGCAATGATCAGAATCGTGCGCGAAGCAGATCCATACCTTTTCGAGAAGTTCGGATACAGTCACTGCTGTATCCCAAGTTCGCACAGAATTTGGTAGTTGGATGCATTTGGATCGGCTCTTGAAGCTTGTGAAGTGCCAGCAGCAGCACATGGTGCAGTTGCAGGTCTGACTAAGACTAAGACTCTTGGCAGAGAGGGTGGACACTACGCGAGCGAATGGTGGGAGGCGTGAGCCTTCGACGGTACGAGCACTGCCAGCACCCAGCGAAGCAGCTGCTTTGTCCGACAACGCCAGCCAAGTGCGGATGCACTCAGACTCTGTTCAAGGACGTGTGGCACTGCAGTTCAGAAGAGGTTCAGTCATGAATGACGACGTCATGGTTCGTGCAAAATCATGCATAACGTTGGAGCCTGCAGAATGACGGGCGCCTTCCAAAACACGCAGCTTCAGCAAAGCTGAGCACAAAGCTACAAAGCTGTAATCAAGAGAAGGTGATCATCAAGAGAAAGAGTTGTCACCAGTTGACTCTGAAGGGGAAAATGAACGCAAGCAAAAAATGCGTGAGGTCTCACCTATCAATCCACCTCAGGCACAAGGATAGCTTCGAAGATTCGGCTGCACTCCTCCAATGCAGCACTGAAGACCTTCAATCCCTGATTCGTAGACCTCCCCAACAAAGCTGTGTCGTTGCAACTGATGCCTCAAAGCTCCCATTGTGCAGGTGTCTCTAAAGTTCCACCGCCTCCTCCGCCGCCCCCGGAGTGGAACTCAGCTTGAACCCTTTGTCGAAAGCGTTCGCCTTTCGAATCTCAGCATGTCTCAGACGACATGCACTGACCAATAAGGCCCTGGAGGCATGGAGACCCACTGAGCGTTTCACGGAGGCCTTTGCAATCTTCAACCCCAAGTGATCCCTTGCAAACAATTTTTGGGGTGACGGGGTGCCTGTGGCATACGAGTGCAAGCAGTCTAGCGGGCAGCGAGAGAGGGTTGTGGCTTCCCTGGTGCAGGACCATGCTCCTCCAGGCTTTTAAGGCAGAGAGTCGTATTGCCGCCAAGCTTGGGACGGTCGGGGCGCGTTTCTGCATGACAGCAATGGCCTTCCACAGATGTTATGCTGGAGTTGGTAGTTAGGCACAGCCTAATGCAGCGTCGCAGCTGCGAGTGCTTTGGGAGGCCTTCACAATCACCTGCGACGGATTCACCGGTAGATCCGCCGGACAATGGCAATCATTTCAAATCAAAGCAGGCTAGGCTCTAGGCCTGTCTAGTGAAGAGGTTCCTTGTGGTTGTCTTTGGTGCCGGTGTCCGAAGTCGACAGTTTTCACCATTATGTGGCCCGCGTGTGTAACGCACGACAGCAGGCTGCTTCAGCAACGCAATGCTTTGCTGTGTGTTGCAAGACCTGTGGGTCAGTAGCCTCTTAATGGAAGTTTTGCAGGATTGCGACAACTCGATCAGCAGCATACGTGCTCTTTCCATGTTCACACTTCAGAGTCATAAGCCATTATAGTCATAGCTAGCCGCTAGCAGGCTCAGCCCAGGACCCAGGATCACCTCGTGGCTGCAGCCAGCCGTGAGGCAAAACACAGCAGGAGTTCGGGGCAGTTCGGGCCCAGACGCCAAATTGACTCTTTTGAGCCTGAGCATGCAACTCCTAAGCGTTGCTCAAAGATTTCGAGTAACTTGACAGTTCTGAGAAGAGTGGTTCTACAGTGTTCTGCACGGGTACCTCTAATGTGTTACGACCAATTAGATCTGTTGAGGGAGGGCCTTAGGGCCCTAGAGTGTGGTCCACGAAGCTCCAGACGGCTGCGCGCTTCGGGAGTTTAGTAAGTTTATCAGGATACCGCAATGCTGCAACCTGATGCATCTAAGATTCAGGGGCACGCGGCCACCTTCAACCGATTCCCTCTGGCTTTTGGACTCGGCTTTAGGGGGCGGCCAAAAAAGGAGAGAGCTCGCTTCGAAGTTTCGAAGGCCTGTGCAGGAGCTGACGGTTCGAGGGCAGAACGAGCCAGTGCCTTTTTTTTCAACTCTCGCACTTCTCGTAAGCTACGCAGCACAGGCCATAGCTTCAGGCAAAGATGTATTTCTGGAGTGTGCAGGCTTCGGCTTCAGCGCATACTTCGCCCAAGCAAGAATGAGAGGGAAGGCGTGGAGCTTGGGTGTGAGCGGAGCTTCGGCGTGCGGCCGATGTTTTTTCTAGTTCTTATTTCGTAGGTCGGTAGGGCGTCTCTGCAGAGATTCCACAGAGGACTCAGAGGACTGTTGTGCTCCGAATGGCTCAGGCTGTGACGCTGGTTCTCTTCGCGTCGATGTGCTGCTTTATCGTCGGCATTGCTCGGGTCCCAGAAAGGGGTCCCAGGAGTCCAAGATCGGTCATGCGAACTCAGTGGGTCTGGACCCTTCCTTCCCAGCTTTGTACCTCTTAAAGCAACATCTTGCAACATCTTGTCACCTTGCAGACCACCTTGTGGGCGAGGCTGTTGTCAAATCTAGTCAATAGGAGCCGCCTGGACGGGAGGGAAACGAAGGGGTGAAATGAAACACACAACAAGAAACGAGGAAGGTGGAACTTTGAAATCTTCTACGGCTGCGATGATCGAAAAATGGACCAAGAAGCAACAAGAAACGGGAGTGATGGAATTTAAGGTAATGACTCGGCTTTTAAAACACAAGAAACAAGAGGGAAGTGGAAAAACCAGTTGTTTCCAAGTCCGGAAAGAAACACAAGAACTAAAACGAGAAATGATGGACTACTTTTTCTTGCACGCGACGCCCAAGGTTTTTTTCTGGAGGAATCGCACGTGTTCTTCAGCGAGCGCTAGCAAGCAGAAACCGAAGTCAATTTGAGATGTTGTTGAGATCAACCTCTTTAATTGCTCTAAATGTCAATATCATGAACGGTTCGAATTATCTGGCTTTGTCAGAAATACTTTAATGTGAAAGTCTGTACAATAGTAAATTGCGAGTTGTTCGTTAAATCTGCAATCTTGTTCTGCAGAAGCAGCCAATCCAAGATCCATTTGGCAAAAAACTCTGCTAGCAATATCTTACATACAAGCCTGGCGACGCCTGTGCAGCATGTGGCCGCGACTCCAGCTTGCGCCCCAAAAAAGGCGAAAGACCGACATGAGCCAAACCTTTTTTGCCTCCAGATTTTTCTACCCTTCCTCAGCACGACATGACATGAATGTTACACCGTCCGGCAAAGGAGCTACAGGACAGTTCCGTAGTTGACGTGTCACGACCACTGCACTCAGAGTGGAATCATATGATGCAGATCATGCAGCTCGAGGCTTTGTTTTTCTGGCCAGTGGCGCCACGGCCGGAGCCAACCTCACCAAGGCCACCCGTGCATAGCGCATTGAACCCCTGTTGGCCCCTTTGAGCCTGCTTTTGACACTTGAGCAATTCTTTGTGACTTCCTCAGGCACAGCTTTGGCTTCTTTCGGCACAGCGCTGCTTGGGCCGGTCCCACCAAGGAGGGCCTGATGTGAGCTTTTGTCGAGCTGGCGGTTGCATGCGTTTGCCTTCAGCCGGACTCAGCCCGCTTTGTTCCACGTCAGGCCCTGCGCCACTTGAGATTACGAGGGCCGCAGAGGCGGCTCGGCGCCCGGCGTGCGTGGCGTTGTCTTTACACCTCAGAAAGCGAGAGTACAAGGCGGTACGCGTGCCGACATGCAGAAAGCATGAGGTTGCGGCTTACAGGTTCAGGACAAGTCTCAGAATACAACGTTGAATGCAAGAACCCCTTGCGGTTTCCGCAGTCTTCTGTTCTGAGCCACAGGCAAAGCAAGCACACGACAGAACCTCTTCCTTTGTTTGTAGCACATGGGACCCCCAGACAGAAACCCTACCTTAGCAACAGCCCAAAACCTTCCTGAGCCCTAAATACTACTCAAACCGAAACTTTTGCATTAACCTCGAACTCCTATGAAAGATCCTGCACCTTCCAAATGCTATGGCCGATGAGAGCCGGCGACGCGGGATCTCGGCATTGCTGGATGAGGCCTAGCGCCAAGCCTGGGGCTCATGTAGGGTTTCCCGAATACCCTTTTTTCGGGGGCTCCCTTCGTACTGATTGGAGTATTTTGGGGGTATACAGGGGGCACCCTTAGTTGGGAAGTACCCATATCTGGTGTAGAGTTTTGTGGGCAAGAGGCTTTGCTAGATCCAAGGCCCAATGTCTTGGATTGTCAGGTAGCAAGGCGGTACTGTATGAGTCCTTGTGGATGTGAGCCAGGCAAAACACGCTGATTCGAGAGGGTTGGCCTTGTTGGAGGCTCCGTGCGCAACTTTCAACTGCCATGCAAAAAGATAGATAAATATATATATATATATGTATATATATATATATACATATATATACATTTATATATATATATATAGCAAGTTTATCAACCCTGGTAAGGTGTAAGGACAGTCCAGCCCACTGGGATTCCAGCCTGTCGGGCAAATCCCGGCACAGCGTAGGCACAAGGCTTTCAATCTCAATTGGAAACCCAAGCCGCCCAAGCAAATTACGCACCCGATCTGCAGAGTCAAGACGAATACGACTTGGGATTCTGAAGGAACTGATCTGGCAGGAGCTGTTGGCGGCCTTGGCGAAACGAGACGCCCCAGGCCTCTCACGTCCGTAAAGGTAGAGCACACCTTGCTGCGTGAGTCTGGGCATGTCCAAACAAGCATCTCCTGGAGACTCAACACACAACACAGGCCTCTCCGACATGAACCGCCACCGTGTAGCGGCCGAGGCTGGAACATTAGCTCTCTTGGCCAACTGTTTCTATTTTCGGGCACATCTCCGACTGCACGGACTCGTCCTCCTAGGACATTGAACCCGTGCTGGAGTTGCTGCATGAGGCCCATGCAGAGATCCGCACGACTTGCAAGGGCTGTAGAGGGCTCATTCGGGCCTTGAGAACAGTCCAACCTTTTATCAACTCCCTTCAACTTTCAAGTCCGGCATCCTCCGAGTACGACCTGCAAGCTCTGCATCAAAAAGTGAGCCATTACAGGTAGCTCATGCCAGTGGAGGGGCTGCGGCCGCCCTGCACAGCGCAGCACGGAGCCAGGCAGAGGGAGGCCCTCAGGGTTTGGGATCTGCACTGCTTTTTACGGTTTCCGCAGCGAGCGGCGAGATTGACTAGTTCATCATCAGTTACTTTCAAGTTCTTTTTTGCACATTCGAGCCACCCAAAGATCTCAAGATTTCAACGGGGCGTTGGACGTGGGCAGTCTAAGTGTTTCTACGAAGACGACCGATTGACGCAAGAAAGCATCATGTATTGGAGGAAACAGCTCTGTTTGCGAGCGCCCTGTCTACAAGCGCGGCGCATGTAAGACTTTGCTGGTCGCTACCTTGCACATCCCACTGTCCTTCGTTTCCACGCTCAGCAAAATACTGTTGCTTGCTTTCGTCGTCGCCTACTTAAGTTCTGTTATGCATCGTTTCGGTTCAGTTCGTTTCTGCATATCTCTGTTACTACCAAACCCCACACATATAGATGATATATGTATATGATATATATATATATATATACGCGTACATATGCTACCCTCTGCTATCTACCTTTTTGGTGCCTTTCGGTGACAAATGTTGTCAGCTTTGTCTGTATGCTTCGGATTGTTTCATGCGTTTGGTATTATTCAGTATTCTCGGTTGGCTTCAGAGTGCTTTACTGAATTTAATATCTTCAGTTCCTCTGTGTATGTTTGCTAGATGTATGAACATCAGTCGGAACAAAAGCAAATCAACACCACGCCAACCACCACGACAGATTCTCCTCCAAATTGGTTCCGCAGGCGGTTTTGATTAAAGCCGGCTGGTGTTTACAGCATGGTCTCGGTCGGGCCCAGGTCAGGGAAGTACAGTTCGCGGCTGTTTTGGGAATCTTGGTTCTTTGTTCCCTTGCATCCTGTTAATCATGGCTCGCGTCAATTTGCATGGGTCAAGTCAAATCATGTCAAATCTAGGCAAGATTCACCAGGAAGATTGCCACTCCAATTTGTATTCAACGCTGACTATCAGATGGCGGGGACAATGGCTAAGGACAACTGTTGGGGCAAATGAGAGGAGCGATAGGCCGGATGCGCCGAATGGCAGTTGCAGGCACCCCTAAACCCTAAGTCCTAAATCCTAAACCCCATATAACGAAGGACCGCTACAGGGACAGCTGCTGGGACCTTTGTGATGGATGCGGGGAAACCTAAACATGTAGCGGCGGCGGATGTCTTGCCCGAACGCTTGACTGTTTAACAAGATACTAGGGCTGTAAGAAGGCTGTATTCAGAATGAACATAAGCTGAATTTGGTTTCTCAGATGTTCGGCATATTTCCGGTAGCGAAGTTAACGTTTAACATGCGTTCAGAGAGCAAGAGAGTTTACAGACCTCGAAAATTAGAATGTTTCATCTCGCTTCTGAAATGAACAGCATGTTAAGTTGAATCTGGGGTCTTGCCCCAACTTTACTTTGTTCAATAGCTGGAGTATTACCAAGTTCCTGTAAACGAAGACAAGGCTTAATCACGACGCTCAGAAGTATGAAGAAATGCATCCGCCGTTTTTTCAACACCGTGCAGAAGTAACAGCATTTTTGCATTTCCAATGCCTTGCCTTTTGTACTTTCCCAGAGAATGCCTCCCAGAATTCCCGCAGAGTACCCCTGGAGTGAGAGAGTCCCGCTGACTCTGCCTGGGGTGGCCACCCCAAGACCATCTCGCACTGTCTCTCAGAGTATCCCTAGAGTGACCGATTCCTCGATTTCTTCTTCAAATCGGCCTTGCAGGTGCAAATCGCCATCTGAAGTTGTTGTTAAATGATGAAAGCAAGGCTTCTCGCTTAGCATTGTGGGGGAACATTCTATGTTGAAGCTTTACCTTCCACACTCGGACGACGTTTCATCAATTAATTCCCTTCGTGGAATTGAAATATGGCCGCCGTGGGATCCGGCATTTCATGAGGGGCAACAACGACTTTCGGAGAGGAATAGCGGAAGTTTGGCTGCATTCGCAGGCATCTCAGATGCCGAGGAGGCGGGCCGCATTCGCCCAACTTTGGCAGTCTGACACATGTGACCGTGGCAGGGTTGCTGAGTCGTCACTTTGTCACATGGCTTTGTTTCTGGCATCCCGCACGCATGGGAACCTATGTAGACCCAATCGCCACTAGCAGCTAGCAGCTCCAAAGGCAAGAGTCAAGCACGGCCGATGAGTCATTGTCAGGTCAAGGCCCTCTTCCGTGCTGCTGACTTTGCGGAACAAGATGCCCAGCTCAAGGCAGAGTGCTGGGCAGGTGCTGATGTGTCGAGCGTGAGCAGATCAACCGCTGTTTGCTCTCTTGTTGCCTTTCGCCGCTGCAGGGCATGCATGAGTCCCAAGTAAGTTTCCAGAGCAGGGTCTACTTGCGGCTCACGCACATGACGCACATGGACAAGGGTTGAACCACACACCATGTACCATGAGATCCCATGGACATAAGCTCAACTCTTCGTCATTTCACAATCGGTGTGTCCTGGAGCATGGCGGCTTCGTCTGGATCCCAGCTGTCCACGCAGCGTCTTGTGCTTCTTCTGCAATCTCAATATCATGCTTTGTGCTTCGTGTCGCAGTCTACTTGAGAAGAAAGTCAATCAGAGGCTCCGGCCCGGCAGCCGCGGTTCGTGCTGTACCCAGCAAAGAAGCAGCTGTTGTGTGAGCAGGAGTAAGGCTGCCAAGGGAGGAGCTACGGAGTTACGCGTGTTGCTCGGGTCTTCGAAGAAGTACAAAGTAGCAGTGGGATGCAACGAGCCCCGGCCTTCACGATGGCCCATTGGCTCAAGGGGTGTAGGCTCTGCCCAAGATTGAGCGAGTGGTTGGCAGGTGAGTTATTCACAGGTCATCCGAAAACAGCCTCCGAGTTCCTGAACACTCTTAGCTCTAGAGCTGAAGCGACGAGTAGTCATATGACTTCTGCATACTTCTGCCGCGTTCTGCCTGTTTGCACATTAGGGGCTTTGAATGCTTGTGCTTGCGTCATGGCCTGCGTGGCGATGGAAGATGCAGATGTGCACGTCCCGCAAGAGGACGAGGCAGCTTTAAAGTCAAAAAATCAAGTCTGACAGCAAGCGCTGCCTGCACAGGAACCAGTTTCTTCTCCACGCAGCACAATTCAAGTCCAGTTCGGGAAGGAGGCGGCTCCATTCATGTTTGCAGTTTACATGTGCTATTGGAACTCTATTCCCCTGGCTTGCGCATGGCATCATGTGCGCCCCTCCAAGATTGCACACGTTTCCCGACCCAAGGACCAACCACGAGACCGCCTCAGTCTGAGCAACGGCCAGCTATCGGCAGTCTTGGCACAACATCATCGGGAGCTTCCCCGTCCACGCTGTGATAAAGTGCAAGGGGCGACAGGTAGCTTGTCCCAGACTGTTGCGACAGACCTTCACCATCTTTGTCCTACCCTGGAGGAGCTCATCCGAAAGCTCGAAGTTCAGGATGACATCCTGAGCCAGATCTTGATCAAGCGCCATGCCCTGTTCTTCCACGAATTGTCTGGATCATGTCGTGACGCTTGTTCTCCTTGTCTTGGAAAACTATGGCAACTCCACACAGCATATCCGGCCTAGAGAAACAAGAGATTCACACCGCACGCCCAGCCCTTATATTTGTATATAGGGAGATGGCCTGTATGTCCGATCCCAAGGTGCGGGGAGTCCAGGGAAGCTGGGACTTTGTGTTTGAGTTCACCCGCAAGGTGTGTGCGTGACAGCTCGCACGAGGTCAAATCCGCCCCGCAGACCCTCAACTGATGTTTAGTGCGCGATTCCATGCTTCATCACGTTTCCTTGTTTTGGATTTTGATCCCCACAGTTCTTAATCTGACTGCTACTGCTGAATCTGTGTGAAGTGCAGGAGTCCTTCCCGAGCATTGTCTGCGCAGACGACGGATATGGAGGGCAACTTTGTCCGAGTCTAGGAACAACATCTGTGCGAACAGCTGCCGAGGTTTTTTTTTTTGTGATTTTTGTGCGCGCGCCGTTGCTCGACCGTATCTTACAATCTCTTACGGAGACCATCTACTGTGGTCTCCATGCAGTAGACCTGGACAGCAGAGTCTCAGGTATTTCGGCCATGTCGAACTGCTCGGAGGATGGGGCCATGAAGCCGATGCCAACCAAAGCGACGAGCGACGACTTGCTGCCAGATTCCGCGAGCGAAGCGGAGTATGTAGCCGGCCTCAAAATTCAAAATTAAGATAGCATTCTGACTCATGATAGACCAACTCCATTCAAGCTCCCAGCCAAAGCAACATGATGTTCGTCAGGTTCTTCGCAAACGCCCCAGCGTGCAGTTCTCGGAACGCAGCTCGCGGCGTTCCCCAACCCCTCGAAGTTCCTTCACGCCCAAACTGTTCAGCACGTATCTTGGTTCAGCACTAGCAGGAAGTGGCGCATTGACCTTAGACCCGGGGTAAGCCAACCCTCCCAAATGCTTTTAGGACCTCAATAGTCCCAAATCATCCTGAGGCAAAGTTTTTGGGTCAACAAACTCGACATGTTCATGTAACCTCCCTCAACACCCGACAACCTAAAACCTGAACCCTTAACCGAACCTTAGCCTTAACCCTTAAGCCTTTCTCTGAAGCTTTTTGTCTGTGTGCTTGCGTGAATTTGCATGCTGCTCCGAGGTTTTCGCAAGCAGACTTGAAGCTGAGGGAAAGCGCCGACAATGCGCAGGGGATCAACTGCAGAAGAAAGTTTTCAACTGCCAAGGGAGTCAGCCTGGGGCACATGCGTCTTCCGCAGAGCTGCTGGCAAAGCCTGGTCAACCACCCTCTGTTCGACTGGTTCTTTGCAATGGTGGTCCTTTTGAACGCCATCTTCATTGGGGTTGACGTGCAACTGAGCATCGGAAGTATGGAAGTTCGGCCAGTGTTCATTCAGGTGCTACAGTACTGCTTTACCACACTCTTCACGGTCGAGCTCATACTGCGATTTATAGCGAATGGAGTGCACCTCTTCTGCCAAGAGGACTGGATGTGGAGCCTGCTTGATGTCTTTATTGTGGAAACTTGGCCGGAAGATGGATTCTAGAGTTGGCGCAAGCTTTTGCTAACTTCATTTAGCTTCTAGGTAAAAACCGCGTGGTCCAAGCACTGTGCTGTACCGGCAGCTCCCTGATTTCTGAAGATGGGGAGCCGGCTTCTGAAACGCCCTGAAACGTGGAACGTTGCCTCAGGCAACTTCCCTTTGGGAGATCGTAGTTGACGTCGTGACTGCCCTCGAGGCCGTGGATTCCAACGTCGACAAGATCGCTGGCGTTTCGAGCTTGAAAGTCTTCCGTATCATTCGCATCACGCGCATCGTGAAGACAGAGCCTCGACCTTGAAGTGAAATTAGGGCACCTCCTGCTGTTCAGCCCCCACCGCTCACTGCTCGTGATGATTGCGCCTTGCGTTGAACAAGCTCTCAATCTCCGAGCTCTCTCCGAGATTCTTTTGTGGCACCATGTGGCACATGAAGTCCTGAAAGGTAAACTGAGAAGAACTGCTGCAGCAAGAATGTTTGCGTGTTTGCCTGTTTGCGTGTTTGCGTGGGCGTGTGCGCGTGTGTGTGTGTGTGTGTGTGTGGGTGGGTGTGGGTGTGGGTGTGGGTGTGCGCGTGCGCGTGCGCGTGTCCGCGTGCGCGCGTGCGCGCGTGTGCCCGTGTCCATGTGTGCGCGTGTCGTGTGTGCCCGTGTGCACGTGTGCCCGTGTGCCCGCGTGCTTGCGCATGCCCTGTGCGTGCGTGCTTGTGCGTGTGCATGCGCACTCTATCGGCTTTATCGAACAGTATCGCCGTGCCAAACCCTCGATGCGCTTCTGCTTCTGCCTTTACTAAGGGTAGTTCGGACTGCAAAGCCAGGCTTTGGTGAGCTAGGCTTTCACTAAGCTATAGCTTTGCTGTACTCGCCCGGGGCTCCTGGTCTGGGTCTCCTACCTAGAGAATCAATCCTGCACTCCCACAAAGCGTATCGCCCAATCCGGGTAATCCTTAAACTGTGCATCACAATGCTTCATTTGCTTAGTGGGGATTTCGTTTTGAAGGTCTAGTGCTTTCAAGCTGCAGCTTGGCATTGCTCATCAGTGCATATTGGGATATTGGGAGCTTTCAGAATCGAGCTGCTTACTCGTTGTAGAACATTTTGCCGGACATCGCATGACCTAGATACAGCTGATGCGCGTCTTCCGATTCGTCATGGCCTTTCGGACGCTGATCTCGTCCATCATCCACACCTTGAAGGCCATTTGTCTGGCACTAAACGATTGGTTGAGTTCAAACCACAAAACACATCCGCTCGCTTCGCAATTGACTGAGCAGAGCGGGTTGTGGGGAGAACACATCGTACTGCGTGGCCATGCATGGTCTTGCCTGCTTCCGGTGAGGAATCTCGAGTGTAGCCTCGTGATTCAATATGATTCATACGCCCCAACTTCGGATGCAGGCACTCTTCTGGGCGTTGATCTTGCTGCTGATGATCGTGTACGTATTTGCGGTACCTTGGTTGCAAAAAGTCCACAACCACACCAGTTTCGTACTTCCTAGGACCTTTGGCCGGAGTTGAAGGAAGTCGTGGGCCTGGTTTGATCCAGCTTTGCGGCCAGGTCTTGTTCACACAGGCTGTGAACGCTCACATCTACGACCCGGAGGCTGGTTTTGAAAGCACTGACGACACTCAGATGTGAGCATTCATCGTCAACGGCATCCCTGGATGCGCAGGTGACCGTGCTGTCCACAAGCAGTTTGGAGAACTCCTTGAAATATTTTGGCTGCCAGGTATGCATTAAGAAAGAAGCAGAGTAAGATCTTGACCTTGGTGATGCGCATCCTTCCTGGCGCGCAAGCAAACTGTCTGTTCATGACTAAAGCCGTGTGCATCAGAACACCAGCACAGGCGCAGTGTAGAGTCTTCTCCCCTTGCACCAAGGCTCACTTCCTGAAACGATGCTGAGTTTGTTCATGGCCATTGCGAATGGAGTTAGCTGGGAAGAGATCTTGAATCCCCTGCGGGCGATTTCAAGCGCTTGGGTCTTTCTATTTCTCTTCTATGTGGCGTTTACGCAACGAGTTGGCACTAGACATGTTTTTGGTCTCATGTCCTGAGCCGGAAGTTCATGGTGCTCAGTGAAGCTGAGAGCCAGGTATTTCGCTGTGCTAAATGCAACTCAGCTGCACAGATCACGTTAGGGAGGGCTAGCACTGAGCAAGTCCTTTCTGGGAATGTTGCGCTAGAATTCTGCAGAATCCCGTGACAAGTCGCTAGCACCCCTGTTGGTTACGTTTTGTGGAGGCAAGCCAGGTTGTCAGCCTTCAACCCTTCAACCATCAAGGAGCAACTTCTAGACAGCGGGTGGGAAAGTTGTTGCTCGATACAGGTGTGCGTGGAAGGCTGTCAGGTGCCATTGGAAGGGCGAAGGGCAATGCAACGCTTTTCTCACGAAATCCAACGCTTTAGCTACCATGGTGAGCCCCGATGCGACACTTGTGGCGAAGCAGCGGCTTGAAAATGCATAGGGCAATCTTAAAACTTGGTATGTTCCTCTCGCATGCACGGGAGAGTTTCAAACCACCGCCAGGTTACTTTGCCCCTTTGGGGATGTTTGCACGCCAAAGTTCTACAAAAGAGGTCAACTGACTGCTTGCCCTCTCCCCTCCCCCAGGGTTCTAGGCCCGCATAGGCCCGCTTTCCCCTTTCGGTTCAATTTGCTTGCGCTCACTTGGGTTCTTGATGAACCTCCTCTTTACAGTTTTTGGAGACAGACCCCTAGTATGTGGAGACGGTGGTCTTCGTCAAATTTTGGTAATAAAAATTTTGGTGGCCAAATGAGGTCGTAACTGGGGTGTTCTGCCAGTCAGATTCTTGGTTCTGCAATGGTACAGTGTTTTTTGTGCTTTCATATTGGTGCCCAATCGCTGCAGCTGCGTTCAACTAGTTTGCGGCGCACGCGTTGCTTGGGAACCAAAGAGCAAGCATAGGCAATCGACAGCGCCCAAAATGATCATGCCACGCTCGTGCAATCCATGCTGGCCAACAAGGACTGTTCGGGTTGAGGGCATCAAATAGCATCTGGCTTGGATTGTGTTTGCGCTCGTGACATGTGCAAGTTCAATAGCCTACCCCCGGACGATGTTGGCAGGAAGCGCACTTGCACGAAATAAGAGCCTTGTTCAGCACCTTGGCATGTGCACTTGCGATGTTCGTTCGTGAGAAAACGATGCAGTGCTGCATGGTTGGTTCGTAGCACTGACACCGTGGCCATGTTGCGTTTCCTCTTGGAAATCAATGTTGGACTGAGGCAAGCTGGGTGCGACGGACTCTGGTGTTATCACTTACGCAATGTTTGAGGAGAAGATTGACTCACCCGCCGTGCGTGAGTACTTCGAAACCCTTGGGCTGGATGTTGCCAGTGATCAACTGGCATACGTTTCCGGTGATGGTTGCCTATGGTTGTCTTTGTCGGGTCTATCTGTGACGTGTTAGGCTTCGTTCGCACGGTGCTTTCAAGCACGCAACAGATATAACGTGTCCGTAGAGACTATCAAGAAGGAGTGGCTGCGAACGGGCATACCATCTTATCTTCAAGAGGAAGCGGAAACATACCTACGACTGCAGCAAGAGACCAACCGCACGACAACGACAACGACAACGACAGCAGCAGCAGCAGCAGCAGCAGCAGCAGCAGCAGCAGCAGCAGCAGCAGCAGCAGCAGCAGCAGCAGCAGCAGCAGCCGCAGCCGCAGCCGCAGCAGCAGCAGCAACAGCAACAGCAACAGCAACAGCAACAGCAGCAACTGAGACTGCAACAGCAACTGCATCATCAACAACAGCAACAACAGCAACAACAAGACCAACTCAAGTTCAATCTCAAAACGTAGCTTCGCAACAACAAGCTAGCGGTGTACGGCGAGGGCGGCCACTTCTATAATATCATTGTCAGAAGAAAGCTCAGGTTTGGGATGCTTGGTCCTTCTTCAAATTGCTGGATCTCGATGGAGGCAGTTTTTCAGCATTTCATCAACACTCCGTAAAGTGCTTGCTTGCTTTCGCAAGTTCCTTCAGCGCCGCCAGTCGTCAGGTGGAGCTGTCGAGATCGAGGAATTTTTTAAAGGGTGTCTTCGGTTGCGGGGGCAGGCAGGAATGGGAGAGCGATTGTGCTTCTCAGCTGCGTGGTGACCAGGCTACGCCCTAGGCACTAATGCCTGGCAGGCGCGGGCAGTGGACATCGGCAAGATAATGCATGTGCTTCGCCTGCACTAGAACGCGACTGTTGCGACGGAAACGTCGCTCAAGCTCAAGCGGTGTCATGCCAGGACCAGACATGGCTCATTAAGAGCCAGGGTCGATTTCACACGTACATGGAGTCGGAGCTGAACTTCATGAAGCGCGAGCTTGCAGCGCTGAGACTAATGTCAGGCGCCTCGCGCTTCTTTCAGAAGGCATTCCGTAGACCTTGCTTAGATCCTGGTCACTGTGACACGCTCTTGACTTCTTGGAAGGTGGCACGAGTGAGCAGTCGCCAAGAACCCTGCTGGGCAACAGCCAGTCGCCCCAAAACAAAAAATTGAGACACAAGCCCAGCTTGCATGATCTGAAAGAGTGAGAAATTCAAGAAAACAGGCAAGGTGCCTCAAGTCCTGTGATTTAATATTGCAAGCTAGCAGAACGCTTTCAGGCCTTTGACCTGTGCTCTTGAGACAGTCTGGAACAACTGGGCCTGAGCTTACCATTCACAAAGTGATGGTGTACTTCGTGTACTTGCACAGAAAGAAGAATCTGCATAACTGCATAGCAGACAAGCCAGGCTTGATCTGCTTTGTCTTGAACATCGGTTTCGGTAGACGTCATCGCAAAGAAGAACGTCGGAGGGCTCGCCTTTACACTAGCTGGCCATACCCAAGCATGAGGTACACATGTTAATGAGGGTCGGACATCCAGCATGAGACAGGTCCGGAAAGCAGCTGATAGTGTTTTCAACTGCTGTACGCCTTCCGGCAATCGTGTCTACAGGATTGTACAACTATTGTCACAGGTTTCTCGAAAGCATGGCAGCTGATGGAGACGCGGAGTGACGAGTATTTTTATTCATTGCAGCCCTGCCCTGACTTCTCAGCGAATGCTCCTTTCGGAATGGGGGGAGCAAGTCTGGCAATGTCAGTATAACCCTTCAGCTGCTTAGCCACCCCCCGCTGTTCTGTGCTGGCTGCCCTACGTCTGCAGCCCAATTCGACTCGACTTGAGCTAACCTCTGCTAATGCATGAGCAGACGCTTGGGAGTGATGGAATGTTGACATTGAGCAGAAGAAATGTGCACCGAAGTTTCGCCAACAAGTGATGGCAATGCCAGCAAAATCTCCGAACACGGCACGAGTGGCATAGGATTTATGTCGTGGGAAGTCGGCGGAGCAGTCGGCCGTGCTGTTGTCGCATCTTTCCGTCAACAAGTGACCGAGGTCTGCTTCTCGTGGATCGGCGGCTCCGCAAAAATTTTCAAGATGCCTTGACGATTCTTAACGAATTGCAGGGGTTGGAGGGGGCTTTTTGCATGGTCCAAGCAGCTACTATAGGACTGGGGACGGCGGGCCGGGCAAGGACTCTGACATACTCTGACTAGTTGAAACTCTGATGAGCAGCCTCTGCAGCCCTCATCTCACAACATGCCAGGCCCCATCTGTGGCGTCTGACCCAGCAGGCCCAGCTGCGCAGTTTTAAGGGCATCTCCACGGTGACAGTTCTGAATGGCTTCATGATGCGAATGAATCACCTTCCTTCGTGCAATTGCTGGACCACTTGGTTGGTTTGGCTAGCTCCTGGACGTCCCGGTTTCAGAAGTGTTTGCAGGTGCTCTGGCTGCTGCGAAGGATGCCGCAAGGAGAGGATTCTTGGCACCGAGGCGGCTTGCAAGCTTGAGCCTCGCCCCTCGCTTTGCAAGGCATACTAAAAGGCTCAGAAGTACTCGGAAGTCTCATGAAGTCTCTAGATGTCCAGATTCCGGAATCGGTAATTTTGTGGGATCAGAGCGCTCTCGCCCTGGAGGCGGGAGCGCGTCCAAGGCGAAGGTGCTCCTTGGCTGCCATCTGACCAGGGGACGTTTAGAGGTAGGAGACCTTTATAGGGTGGGGCGGGGGTGCTCGGTTGAGGCAGCCAGTTTGAGGATTTCTCAACTCAAGGCTCGGTCTGCCTTCGTTTGGCATTGCCAGCTTGAGTTCAAGAAAACCAGGACCCTAGTCGAGGTTTGGGGCAACATGCATGAAGCCCCTGTGTGTGCTGAAGTCGACCCAAGGTGTGCATCTGCGATCCGAAGCTGTTTCGACCCAAGCAGCTGCCCAAATGCAACTGCATCGTGGTGGGAAGCTCAGCCTCGCCCACCAGTCACATTAGCATCCTGACACGTCAGAGATCTCGCGCCAGGACACCGGAACCTACAGCTTGCAGCCCATCAAGGAGTGCAAGTGCGTAGAGAACTACCTGCCCGTCTGGGTGCGGCGTGGAAAGAACTGCCTGCACCCCAGCATGAAGCACGCTGGCGACATTCGGGTTTGTGAGTGTGTGTGTGTGTGAGTTTTCGAAAACTTGTGTTCAAGTTGATTGAGAGTCACTTGGATTCAGGCATTCGGTAGAGTCTCAGGGCTCACGGATTCGAAGGCGTTCGCGTTTGGCATTGCACCGCTTGCCGAGGTCCCTGCAGGAAGGCGCCGCCTGAGATTTGAGCTGCATAATGTGTTGGTGCAGCAGTCCGGCTGCGAACATGTCAGTTCTACGGATACAGTGGAGGCGATTGAGCCCCAGAGTTCACGCAGAGCTTGTTGCATGGTGACCGTGGTTAGAGCCACAGTTCCCAGCATGAATTGTAGTGTACCGTAGTGCCGTATTCCAGAGTTTCTGGTGGCATTCATGCAAGTCCACTGCCTGAGCCAAGTGCAGGTGATGGGAGCAGTTTACAACGAGGAAGTTTACAAGGCACCAAGGATTTCAGCCTGGCCTTGGGTGATGTTCTTGCAGGGGAGATAAATACTGTGCACAGGAAGAAAGCAGCTACAGCCAAGAGCATGCTCTCAAGCTGTCGCCTCTTGAGTCAGGCTCTAAGAACAAAAAATGGCGCGATTTGGGAGCGTCTGGAACAGGCCGGGAGCGGTGGGCTGTGCAAGCGCGTTCACGAGCGCAACATATATAGTGCACAAATGCGGATGGTGCATGGACTTGCTCTGCTTTGATGGCTGTGTTGCAAGCCCTTCCTCCAGGACACCGAGAAGCAAGCAAACGCAAATGCAGGTGATCGTGTGCACTTGTGGCAGGTTTTTGTCAGTCAAAGCTGATTGCTTTGGATTTGGGTATCATGTCCATTCTGGCACCAATGCGATTGCCGTGTGACGCTTTGACCTAGTTACCCTGGACCTCAGCCCCTCTCGCCTATGGCATGCAGGCGTGGAGAAACTCCCTACCGGACCAGGTGCCAAGGCAGCAGGCGCAAACAGATTTCATGCTGCCATGCCACATACCCAAAAGTGTTTCCTCCGGGTGGCTTGACTAGTAGAGCACCGTAGTCATGTTAATCCTTACAGCAATCAGCTCATTTTGTTCCCACGATGCTGAAAAACTTGGGTGCTTGTGTCGTAGAGTGGTGGATGAGCGTAGATGAGGATGAGAACGCTTGACATTCATGTGCAGGCCCGGGGGCGAGTGCGGGGCAGACGTCGCTCGGATGGGACACGTTGGCCTGTCAGTGAGGGATTTGTTGCTCGTCATGTCGAGTCCGAAGGGAGGTACTCGCAGTACTCGCATGTCTTGCCAAGGCCTGCGACCGGCACTTCGAGCCTCCTCAGCTCTGTGGGTGCAGCAGTAGCGATGAATGCGCCAACGGCCACCAAAGCATCACCGATGCAGCAGTCAGCAGCTGCAACAGCCGTGATGCAGCTCGGGCAGCAGTCAGACGTCCCTCAAAAGGCCTCCGCAGCAGTGGCTACTCCAGCCAGTGCTGCAAGCCCTACTGCCGAAGGAGCCAGCACAGCAGTAGCAGCCACGCCGACCACCAAAGCATCACCGCCTGCAGCACAAGTCTCGTTTGCACAAAACGGGCAGAAATCAGGCTCCTCGCCTCCAGCTGTCCCTGCCAGCCCTGCTTCCGCAATGTCTGGTTACGTTGGCAAGGCAGAGACGGCCGTGCCAGGAAGCGCCAAACCAGTACCACCCAATTTTCCGTCGCAGCCGGAGCAAAAGCCAGACTCACCCCCAAAGACCTCACCTCCAGCCGTCCCTGCTGGCGCTGCCGGTTGTGTAGGCGATGCAGCGGCAGCCGTGCCAACAAGCGCAAAAACAGTGCCACTCTCCCCGCCTACGACTTTTCCGTCGCAGCCGGAGACAAAGCCAGACTCCGCCCCGAAGACGTCACCTCCAGCCGTCCCTGCTAGTCCTGCCGCTGGTGTTGGCAAGGCAACGGCGACGCCAACAAGCGCCAAAACAGTGCCACCCCCCCCACCTACGACTTCGCCGCCGCAGCCGGGGCAAAAGCCAGACTTACCTCCCAAGACCTCACCTCCAGCCGTCCCTGCTGGCCCTGCCGGGTGCGTTGGCAAGGCAGCAGCGGCCATGCCAACAAGCGCAAAACCAGTACCACCCACTCCACCTGCGACTTTTCCGTCGCCAGCCCCAAAGACGTCACCTCCAGCCGTCCCTGCTAGCCCTGCCGGTTGTGTTGGCAAGGCGGCCATGCCAACAAGCGCCAAAACAGTGCCACCCCCCCCACCTACGACTTTGCCGTCGCAGCCGGGGCAAAAGCCAGACTTCCCCCCAAAGACCTCACCGCCAACCGTCCCTGCAAGCCCTTCTACCAGCAAACCTGCGCCAACAACTGGCAAAGCAGTACCACCATTGCCGCTGACCTCGCCGCCCACTTCCACGATGGGCAAACCTGGTCAAAAGACTGACGCCCCTCCAACAGTCTCACCTCGGCCAAGTACAGAGGCAAAGCCAGAGTCCCAAAGTTGACTCACCTCTGTACTGACACTGTCGGCAGGCTTGTAAAGCGGGGTTTCCGCTGGCGAGACCTGCGCGTGTCACGGCAGTCAAACAGAGTGTCAAACATGGGCACTGGCCACTATGGCCCCAGCTGCTCATGCAATGTGTTGAGGCGTAGGAATTGCACGAAGACATGCTTCCTTCCTGGCAGAGAAGAGCTTTGCGGGACGGAAGTCCAAGATATGCCAAGACCACGCCCAAATTTTAGTCCAGAGTTATGCCGTTCTGATCCTTTCGGCAGGGTCAGAAGCATTTAGCCTGGAACATGAGTGATTCGTGCAACAAAAATCTGTGGGGAAATTAGGTCTGCCAAAGGCAGCGCCGGCGCCGTGTTTGACTCGAGTGGATGCGGAAAATGACTTTATCTTTGGCTGTTTGTATAGACTAAGCCAAGAGATCCCAAGACACATTTCTTAGATTCGTAATGTTTCAATGAACCTCATTGACTGTTATGGCCAGGCAGAGTTGGTCGCCAACCTATCACAACATTCTGGGTCGGACCGAAAACTGCAATCCGCTTCCTAGAACCACACGCAGAAGATCATGATAGCGCTTAAAATGGCTGTAGCGTCCCTTGGAAGGACCAGGTGACCGCTGTCCAGGTGATGTGGAGCGCCTGGGCGTGTTAGGTTGGGAGAGATCGCGGAAGGGATCACAGCATGCAGCTCTACAAGCAGCTTCATTGCCTCTGCCTCGGTATCGGAGCCAGGTGCCAGACCCTGGTTGGAGCACTCGGCACTCTCTGCACCTGAGGGCCAGCGTAGGCCATTAGAGCTGGTTGATTTGGCGTAGAATGTAGAACCCAGAAAACCTGGGCTCAGTTCAAGCCGATCTTAGCCGGTCTCAGCCTCAGCCGCCACGGACGACCACTGTCTGAAACTGAAGGCGCCCTCGAGGCCGTTTGAGGGGGTGCCTCGTCGGATGCTCTCTTCGCTCGTGCTGGTGGCGCTTTGCTGCTTTGTAAGCAGAAGCACAAGGCGGCCGTGAGCATTGGCGTAGAACTGGAGCGAAGCAGCAGGAAACGTCCGTGATTCTGCAATCATCTGCATCTGTGCCAAGCCGCGGAATGGCAGTGTAGTTCCGCACGCTGCTACCTGCAATATCCTGCAGTGCTGCAATACATTGCAATACTCACACTGCAATACTCACACGAACAGATACCACTTCAACGTTTTCAGCATCCCTAAGGCCTGTCAACGATCGTGCGAGATGCAGATAGCCAGGCCTCGGGTGATGCCCGGTGACCCCCAATTGACCGCGCATGAGGACGTTCTTTGGCGATCGTTTAAGTTTTCAGTCATTCGAGTCTTCTTTCGGACGACATAGGCCGTGACATGAACACTGCATTGCGCCGATCCGCACCATTCGTGAGGTGAAGCACCTGTGCTTTAGAGCGCAAGGACGGCAAAGGCCGACAGCCAGCAGTTGTTTGAACAGCACGCTGTTGCAAGCCAGTTGCTTGTGCACTTTCCGTTCGGTCATCCTGACATGATCCGCATCTCCTGGAGGGCGATGATGTGCATGACTTGCAGGCCTGCAGGGCCATCGTTTCGTCGCCGGCGCGTGTGCGATTACGCACTCCCCTGAGCGCGAAGTGTGGATACCTTCACTAAACGCGAGTGCCTTCGACAGTGCCCAGTTTAGCTTACGGTTACCTGAGAAACATTGCAGTGATGCGAATGTGGGGTCTTGGGTTGTGTCAGAAGACACTCGCAACACAGCGGCACTCCGAGACCGTAGATAATTATAATGTTTCCATTGTTTTCCTATTTCCTATTAGAACGATTTGAAACTTGTAGTGGCTGTGACATAGTGTGACCAGCTATGGCGGTTCAAGTGCTGCATTCCAAGAAGGAGGCTCCGCACGGTTTGTCCCTGCAGTCCCCCTGCCGTCCTCCTCAATCTGCACCGCTCAACAAGCACTTACCACGACATAACAGTTGACCAGGCAGCAGTGGCACGTTTATCCGTAGGCTCTCGTTGACATGACTGCCCATGAAGGCATATGTCGCGAATTTATTTAACCTGCTTGCACACCAGTGCCGTGCCTCATGTGCGGCTGATACAAACTTTATATCCTGGGATGACTTTTGACCCTCGTTTTCGCAGCTTCGAGTCAAGTGGCCCTCTGGGCAGCCCTGATTCCCATTGCATCCCTACGGTGAAGTCGTGCTCAGAAGTGGGCGAAAGCGCACAGGGCCTCGCAAGTCGTCCCATCGAAATTCGGCTGCGCGGATGGATGCCTTTAAGCCAGGCCAAGTGTGGAAGGACCAAGGAGGACTCTAGCCGAGGCTCATCGAGGCTCATTCCACATCAGTGTCTTGGAGTTCAGCTGTGCCGTGTCGGATCATTGCCAATTCGCGCAATTCTTCCAACCGCCTGGATTTCTCTGGTGCCCAAACCTGGCCAAAGCTTTTGAAGCTCGAGTCCAACGTTTGGGCACCGGTTTATCACCAAGAGAGGTTCTGCCCAGAGGGCAGCCAAGAGCTCTGAAGAAGGCTCTAACCACCCATCGTAGCAATCCGTAGACCCGACTGCGATGAGCAAACAATCGGGGGGGGGGGGGGGGTTGAGGGTGACCAGCTGTATTGCATAGGAGTCCTATCTTCTTGCGCCATCCAGCCTGGATTTCAATAGTCAGTTTTAGGCTCGGACAAATGAGCAGCTCAATTCGGCTTCCGCACATGCAGGCGCCATCATCGTGTGAACAGCGATGAAGGTCTGTGGTAAAGGCTCTGGGTCGTACTGCACCAAATCTTTGCCATTCATGGGCTGCAGGCTGTACAATATATCTCGACTTTGTTACGTAACAGCAGAAGGGCGGCAATCGTAGATAGGAAAGAATAGACCCTTGGCATCTGTCTCTCTACATGCATATACATGCGCGCAGTTTCTCTCCTGTATGCCTCTCCCACTCCCTCCCTCCCCCCTTCCCTTCTCTCGCTCTCTCTCATTTTTCTTTTATTCGTTGTTCCTTCTTTCTTTTTTTGGTTTCTTTTTGAATGTTCTTTCCCTCCTTCATTCTGTCATTATTTCCTTCTTTTTTTGTTCTCTCTCTCTCTCTCTTTCTCTCTAGCTAGGGCGCTATATGCATGTTTCTACAGTTCTGGAGCGGCCTCGCTGCCTTGCCCGCGTACCGGTCATGGGGGTGCTTTCGGCCTCGAGCATTGTGGCTTTTCCAAGAATGATTGGCTTACGGTTAGTGTATGACAATTCTAGAGCAGGGGCTTTCACCAGCAGAGCATGAGAATAGGCATGACATGGATCAAATCTTGACATGTAGAGAGCCTGCGCGACGTACCTGCTTAGCGAGATGCCGTCGTGGGCGGCGCTGACATCCTTTGTCCGGTCTGTGTCGAATCTTCGTGCTGCGCCGGCTGCCACTGATGTGACGAAGGATCCGGAGCACCCCAACCCTGAGCCATCCTCGGTTCTCAACCTGTCCTCTTGAGGCCTCGCAGTAGTTTCAGTCGACACGGATCAACGGAGCAGTGGTCGATGGTGCATTTTTGTTGGTACCCAGTGTGATGTGTTTACTTAGACATCTTCGCTTATTGAGGGCTTATGTATGCATTGAGATGCATGAACTTCTGCCGCAGATGTTCAAGGTCGAATGTGCATTGAACCAAGGATATGTCAGGTACAACAGGTAGACAGCGCTGAACCCTCATGTTGACCGCGTCAACCGGGCTTGCCGCGATCAGATGCTTGCATGTCCTGGTTGTGCATACCATGCTGACACCGAATTCAGTTTCGAGTGCTTCCGCATTTGCCTGCAGTCATGAACCATCAACTGCGACAAACGTGTTGCTATGTTTTGCTGTGCAAAGCGATGCCTGCTGAATGCAGAGAGGAGCCAACGAAGTCCGCTCTGGGATCCAAGAGCGACGGGGTCGTTGGTGAGGCTACTCGGCTACTTGTTCGTCTGTAGTGCAGTACTCTGCTCTCTGGGTGCAGAACGCTTGCTTGCGCCGCCTCAGCAGCCGGGCCGACCCAAACCACTAGACGTTTACTTGGGGGATTCGCAGGCTTGGAAGGACCCTTGAAGCTTGTCTGAGTAGCCGTCAGCAGGCTGTGCAAGACCTTCAGTACACTCGTTGTTTGTGCTCGCGCGCTTCTTGCCAAGTGGGGCTTGGTTGGGGTGATGCCCGGGGGATTCAACATGTCCACTCCTCAAGCGAATTGCACCTCCCCCAAACGAGTTTTGCAGCTCCACAGGAGGAGGCTGGGAGGGCTTTGCGCGATGTTTGGGGCACAAAAAAAGGTTGGGAAGGATGGAAGCAAACCGGGTCTTGGTCTCTCGTTCCAGACGCCTCTGGCGAATATACACAGCGGACTTTGGTGTAATGAGACTTGGACATTGTTGCAGGGACATTTGTCATCCTCGCCCTCTGAACAGCGTTTTTGTTTCGGTTTTTGTCTTTACCGATTTCACTTCGAAGGATGGGACCACGACGTTGCACATCGCGGCGCGGAATGGTCACACCGAAGTACTCCGCTGCCTTCTAAAGGCAGCCCTTGCACTGCGATTTTGTGTCTTCGGTTGCAGCTCTCAACTTCGACTCCGCAATATCCCTGCAATAGATGCTTCCTCTTGCTTGCGAGAGCCTTCAGAGCCTTAGCAGATCTTAGCAGTATGCAAGCCTGGGCCAGGAAGGCGGTGACGCTGACGTGGTCACAACGAGAGGCGAAACACCGATCCTCCTCGCGGCTCAACAGGCGCTGTGCACTGGGTGCATGAGCGCTGAGCAGTCTTTGTCGTGTCTCGCTTGCGCATCCTATGTATTCCACAGGGCCGAAGGTGGTCCAATGTGGTATACGGTGCATTTATGCCCAGTCTATGCTGGGTTTGACTCTGCCGTGATGTTTCTTTGTGTGTCGGCTTGGTGCAGTTTACGTAGGGTCTCAAAGTATTTCACCTGCCCCCCCCACCACCACCAGACCTGCAGGGGTACTTGGAAACAGTCATCGTGTTGGTGGAAGCTGGAGCCGACAAGCCGCTTGGCTTCTGGGCCAGGTCGAGGTCCACTGAAGGCATAGGCATAGTCTGGCACAGTGGCTTCGTGATTCGTGAAACCACTTCGTGGATTCGTGGAAGCACTTCGCGCACTTATGGGCCGCTTTCCCAAGTCTTGACTTTCCCGAGGCAGAGAGCTGCAGAGCATGGCCTGACTGCAGTGCACGCAGCTGTGGAGCGCGGTCACCTGGAAGTTGTCCAGTTCCTGATCAAAGCCCGGGTGGACGTCGACCACGCAGGGCACCTAGAACGAGACATGAAAGGATGCACCCACCACATATGTGTGCAGAATCCGATCTTGGTGGTAGCGGCATATGACCTCACGATGCCTGATGTGCCCCTCCCAGGCGAAGGATAGTGGTGCCACGCCACTGTTCCTGGCCGCCTACAAGGGTCAGGCTGGCAGTGTGGTCCTGGCGTCGAGTCATGCCCACTCAAGACTCAAGCTAGAGTAGGAACTTACATATGCTTTCTTCCATCTCTCAAAGTCCTTGACAAAATGGTCCCGACATGGTACATGGCAGTACGCACATCGTGCTGCAGGTGGCCCTGGTCCAATCGCTGCTCGACGCAAGAGCAGACAAAGACCGTCCTGAACATCAAGGAGCCTTATTTGCCAGAAACCTGCACGCTCCATAACTCCCACCCAGAATTCGGATTGCACCAGTTTGCGCCGCGCTCAATGCCATAGTTAGAGCTTGGATCACTCTTCGCGTTGTTGGCGGGCAAGCGAAATCGGAATGGTGCCCTTTGCAGGAGCCACACCTTTGTTCATTGCATCCCAGATGGGACACTTGGATGTTGCGCAATGCCTCTTGGATGCGTCTGCAAATCCGGATCTTCATAAAGCTCATAACGTCTCGCCGCTGTACATTGCCTCAGAGTGTGGGCACGCAGAGGTTGTACTAGCAATTCTTGGGGCAGGAGCCGACATGAACAAAGTGACAGATCGAGGAACCACAGCCCTGTACATCGCAGCGCAGGAGAATCGGATTGAGGTCGTGAGGCATCTATTGATAGCCAGGGCTGATGCTGACATTTCCGAACACAATGGAGCAACTCCAGCTCACATAGCAAGCCAGAGCAGCAATCTGGACATCCTACACCACTTAATCGATGCATCAGCGGATATAGACAAAACAAACAAGCACGGCGCCTCGCCGCTGTACTGTGCTGCTGAACAAGGGAAGTTGGGCAGCGTCCGTGTCTTGGTGCAAGCAGGTGCTCGTCATATGCCAACAAGTGCTGGCGTCACGCCCTTGTTCATCGCAGCCAGACGAAACAACGTGGATGTGGTACGATATCTCCTCGCAGCAAGGGCTGATCCGGAGTTTGTGAAGGATGATGGGAGCACGAGCTTGTCCATTGCAGCTCAGAAGGGCCACTGTGAAGTCGTTCGGTGTTTCTTGGCCGCAGGTGCCCAGCTCAGCATCAACCCGCAGACAGGCGCCTCACCTTTGTTTGTTGCCTCGCAGAAAGGCCACGTGGAGGTAGCTCAGTGCTTGATTGTGGCGCGTTCAGAGGTAAACCAGGTAACCTTTGATGAGGCCAGTTCACTACTAATTGCTGCACAGAGTGGCCATCAAGACGTGGTGCACTGCTTGATGGAAGCGGCGGCCGATGTGGATCTGCCGGACAAGCAGGGTGTGACTGCCCTACACGCAGCTGCGAGACAGGGCCACTTGGGTGTAGTTCAGCTGTTGATCAACGGGGCTGCCGATGTGCACATTGCCCGAGACTCCGGCCTCGCACCACTTCACGTTGCTACGCAGGGTGGATACCTGCAGATTGTCCAGTCCTTACTGGAGGCCAGTGCGAACAAAGAGCAAATGTGTACTGCTGGACGGACACCCCTCCACTGCGCAGCGGAGATCGGCTACCTCTACATTGCGCAGCATCTGCTCGATGCTGGCGTGGACAAGAACCGAGCAACGCACAGCGGAGCCACATCACTGTGGTTTGCTGCCTCGGAGTCTGGGCCTTTGGCTAGTACTGCTTTGAGACTTTGCCTTTGCCCGCTCTAAGTCGCTCAGGCTCCGAGGGTGTAAGTTTAGATCAAAGCATGTCAATGCCATCCTTCTAGCCCGCAGGGGGGTATTCGCTTGCCAAAGCCTGCTTCGACTGGACACCATGCAGCAGTCCCCTTCAAAGAAACTCCTGTGTATCGGTTCATGTTGCGAGGTAAGGTGTGCAAGGTCTCGTCGACAACAGAGAACCCACTGACTGTAGCTGTAGACTGACTGTAAGTTAAACTCAGAATGACTGTCCACGCTGACACTTCCACCACCCTTGCCTCGAAAACATGCGCTTGCACTAACACTGCCATCCATTAAAGTTGAACTGTCAGGAGGGTCACATGGAGATGGTTCAGCTGCTGCTCGCTGCAACAGCCAACTGCGACGCTGCCACGCACGACGGCCTGAGTCCCTTGCACTCCGCCGTGCTAAGGGGCCACTTGCAAGTCGCAGGCGTGACAGTTGGTTGCCAGGGATCTCTTGTGTAGCAGGCGTAGCAAGTGAACTTTAGGTGCATGGGGCATGTTCTCCGTTGTGCGCGGCAGGTGCTTTACTGGCCGGAAGTGCGAATGTGGACTTGGCCACCAGATCCGGCGTGCATCCCCTCTTCAGCGCCGCGGAGTCGGGGCAGCTGCACATGATCCAGTGCTTGTTGGAAGCAAGCGCGGACAAAGACAAGCAGACCACCTGTGGAAGTACCGCCTTGCACATTGCTGCACAACAAGGCCAGTTTCAAGCAGCAAGCCGGTTGCTGGCAGCGGGGGTTGATTGCGATCTTGTCGGAGGGAGTGGGCTTACGCCACTGCACCTTGCAGTCCAGAACGGCCATGTGGAGGTCGCCAGCTTACTGCTGTCAGCAGGAGCGCAACCCAATCGAGCCGATGGCAATGGTGTACTGCCATTGGAATATGCAGCGCAGCATGGGGGCATACAGATCGTGCAAGCCTTGTTGCAGGCTGAGGCGGATGCGAACCAGCCAGGAGACAGTGGGCAGACGCCACTCTACGTCGCAGCCACAGCAGGTCATGTCCAGATCATAAACTGCTTGGTGAAAGCACAGGCCGACCTTGACAGCAAAGGTGAGAGGATGGCATTGCACACTGCAGTTGAACAAGGCAACACTGCAGTCACGCGGTGCCTCCTTCACCATGGAGCTCCCAGAGACACATTCCGAGCAGATGGCAAGACACCGCTTTGCATTGCTGCAGAGCAGGGCAATGTCGACATCGTGAAATGCTTATTGCTGTCAAGGGCATGCACACAGGTCGCGACCGCGGAAGGCATGACACCTTTGCACATTGCTGCTCATTGCGGCCACCTGTCAGTCGTCCGCTCCCTCCTCGATGCCAAGGCGGACAAGACGGCTGCTGCCAGGAATGGTGAGACACCGGTATATCTGGCGGCACAGAACGGGCACCTGTCCGCCTTGCATAGCCTGTTGGCTCAAGACACACCGTTCGACCAGGGCAAGGAGGGCAAGGATGCATCCAGCCCACAAAGCCTAGGGCTGAGGAGATTGAAGAGGGGTTCTTCAGAGTCTACCTGGAACGCGCGTGTTCCAATTGACAGGATGCCGATTTTCAGGAACCTCGGAGACGAACTGGCAAAGACTAACCTATGCCAAGCTGATCTAATGCTGAGACCTCGACCTAGAACACAATATACGTTAGTATGACATTATAAGCATAACAAAGCTTGAAACCGTTGATGGAACCCCATTGTGTCACCTGTGTTTTCTGCTCTGAGGATGAACGCGACATTTTGGGAGCTGTTGGCTGCGTGCCCCGGGTCTTCCAGATTGTGTCGTGCTGTGGTTGTTTTTTCGAGTGCATGTCTTGGGGTTGCACTGTTCGTTCGTACCAGCAAGCGCTAGGCAAGGGCCGCCGATAACTGTTGTCAAGCTCAAGCTACATGTAATCAGTGATTCGTGCAGTACCCTTGCCCAGCGAACAAAAAGATGCAATGATACTGCTAATGCCACATTGAACTGGGCGAGTGCCCGCATAATTAGTTACATTGCTGCATAGATGCAAGCTGAGCGGCTCCATAGCCGTTTCACAGCATGGCGTTCTGTGCCTGGCAAGATACAAAACATGATGGTTGGGGCAACTGGGAACAAGAGTAGTCACGGATCTAGCAATCACGAACAGCTCGCCCATCTTCCAATGTGCTTCTAAATCTTTACAGTAAGCACATAGTGAATCTTTAAGTCCTAAAACAAGGCCCTGCGTCTCCTTTTTAAATATAGTATATCCGGGTTCTATTTCTCACTTTGTCATTGTCGTACGTTTTACAACCCCCGATCGCCAGAAAAGACATGCTTCACAGCCATGGGAAATTGTAACCATTACGGTGCGCCAACAATTCTCTTGTGGCTGCGCAAGGACTGGTCAGGTCTGCCGGGATTCAGGGTTGAATTATATTGAATTCCCAAATTCGG